TTGCAGGTCAAATCCAACCCAGCCAATTACGAACTCCTCAGCCAACTCTTGTTCGTCAGTAAATTGATGGAAGGTGTCATCGAATGTTCTATCAAGCAGCACTTGTCAGCGATAACCTGCTCAGTGACACCCAGTTTGTGTTCTGCCACTAGCTCCTGACCTCATTATAGCCTTAATTCAAACTTGGTCAAAAGAGCTGAATTTCAGAGATGATATGAGAGTGACTGTCCCTGATATCAAGGCTGCTTTTGACTGAGTGTAACATCAGGGAGTTCTCACAAAACTGGAATCGATGGGTATCAGGAAAAAACTCTCCACTGGTTAGAGTCGTACCTGACAGAGCAAGATGGTTGTGATGACTGAAGGTCAGTCATCTCGGCTCAGAACATCTCCATAGGACTTCCTCAGAGTAGTGTCCAAGGCCCAGTCATCTTCAGTTGCTTCATCAATGACTTTCCTTCCATCATAAGGTAAGAAATGGGAAGGTTCATTGATGATTGCTCAGTGTTCGCACCTTTTGTGATTCCTCAGTTACTGAAGTGCTGCATGCCCAAATGCAGCAAGACCTGGATAATGTCCAGACTTGTGCTGAAAAGTAGTAAATGTTGCAACATTAAAAATAGCAAACCAAACCAAATTAGCTTCACTTTCACTCCAGCACAGTGACAATTAAGACATTGAATGACCCTCAAAATTGCTCCATTGTTCCTGAACAAACTTGTAAAAACACCAGAGCTTATAACTTCAACAAAAATGAACACTTTATTATTAAGAATGTAACTTTAGCAGAACATAGATAAAGTGCAAGGCAGTTTAATCAATATCCACGATCTAAGCTCAGTCTGCTTTGAATATAAAACTCACCACAATGTGGACAGAGACAGACAGGCAGACATAGTTGAGGGACAAATTTAAAAAAAACAATAAAAGAAGAATAGACCGCTTAGAGACTTTTACTTATGCCATACAACTGCAATTCTTTTCTCAGAGCTTTTAGCAAATTGATATCTGGAGAATAACTAGGGGGAGCAAAAGCAAAAAACTTTCTAGCCCAGCAGCTTCTAAAGCAAAACTGTCTCCACCCAAAATCCAGTCAGTACCAGTTTCTTCTTTTTATTTTGTTTTTCGCCTTAAATGTGGTCTGCGGTTGGCTGTCCAGAACTGAACCTCCTTTATTTGTCCAATTCAACATCCGGTTGCCAGTCCCTGAGTGTAGCAGCATCTTGATGCCAAATTGTCTGCAATAACATCAAAGCAGCAATTAACCTGAATTATCTTTCCAGGGTAATTCCCATCAGCAAGCATTAGTCGTTTGTTTTTCTTTAAGAACAAACTGCTGTTCACAATTCAATTATCAACTTTAACTCCATTCCAATAAAAAAATGAGAAACATTAAAGAAAAATAGTGATGGTCTCAATGCAAGTAACATTTGTGCAACACTAGTGCCAGGAAATGGCCATCTGCAACAAAAGAGAATCTCATCATTGCCCCTTGTAATCCAATGGCATCACTATCACTCCATCCCCTACTAACAATGTCCTGGAGGTTACCATTGACTAGAAACTGAACTGGACTATCTATCTAAAAACTGTGGCTGCAAGGCCAAGACACAGGCTAGAATTCTGCAGCAGGTAACTCACCTACTGACTTCCCAAAGTCTGTCCATCACCTACAAGGCACAAGTCAGGAGTCTGATGGAATATTCCCCAGTAGCTTGGATGAGTGCAGCTCCAACAACACTCATGCTTGACACCATCCAGAACAAAGCAGCCCACAAGATTAATACCATATCCACAAACATTTACTCTTTCCCTCTCTCTGTAGTAGCAGCGTGTACCATCTTCAAGATACATTCCAGAAGTTCACTAAAGCTTCTGAGACAGCATCTTCTAAACCCACAAGCGCTTCCATCTGGAAGGATGAGGGCAGCAGATACATAGGAATACCATCAACTGCAAGTTCCTCTCCAAGTCACTTACCATCCTGACTTTAAAATACATTGCCATTCCATCAATTTACTGGGTTAAAATCCTGGAACTCTGTAATAATATTGTGGATTTACCTACACCAGATGGACTGTAGCAACTCGAAATCTGTTCGCCATCTCTTGCGGGCAGCTAGGATTAAGAAATAAAGTGTGATCTAGCCAGCGTTGATCACATCTCAGTGAATTTGAAAAGGGCCATTAGCGAAATCAATAATTGCTATATGGTCGCCATTAATTCCACATTTTTATTAAGTTTAAATTTCATCATCTGCCATGGTAGGATTTGACCCATGACCCTAGAGAATTAGCCTAGGGCTCTGGATTACTAATCTAGTCACATTACCACTATGCTGCTACCTTCTCAGTATCATGGAACAGGAGAACCACATTGAAGTGTAAGTGAGGAACGAATTTATGTGAAGAGCTTAATAAGGACTCTACTCATTTAGGAAAAATCTTATAGTAGTGGTGTTGCATGGAAGTTAAATAGCAACTGTTCCAATTTTGTGCTGTTAGCATTGACTTCTCAATTAACGAAACTTGATTCTGACTGATGCACCAACAAACCTTTTTTCTCAAGTGGCAATTAATTTAAAATATGTTCTGTAAAACATTTTTTGCGTTATATGTACATACTCAAACCAGTGATCTGAGTAATTTGCATTCCCAAGAGAAAATGTACTTGTTATTTTGGGATGTCACATTCACACTACTATCGTATGTTCCATAAAAGTAAATCCTTCATGCTACAGTGTGATAGCTCATAACCCGGTGTAATGTCTGGTGTTAAGCACTCAACATTAGCACTTACCAGTGTAAATTCGGTCAGAGGCGAGCAAACCTATTCAAATGTTTTTATTGAGTTTGATTTGGATTGTCTGTGTTCTGTTATTTCTCTCCCCTACTACACAATCTACTCTCATGATCCCTTTTGTCGTTCCAAAAGGACTATCCCCTCTGTGATTCCCAAGTTCTCCCCTCCACCGTACCTCACAATTACTCTCCTCCTCTCCCAACTGCCATCCCTTGAGTGCAGGTCACGACTGGTGGTTGAGAATCATGCACTGTATTGGATGGGAGGAAAGACATATCATCTGTATGGGTCCTGGAATCATCAGTTGATGCAGCTTAAAAGGAGGCCATTTAGCCCATGATGCATGTGCCAGTTCTTTGAAAGACTATCCGATTAGTCCTATTCGCATACTTTATGCACACTGCTGTTTCCTTTTCAAGTCTTTTCCAATTCCATTTTGAAAGTTACTATTGAATCTGCTTTCATCATCCTTTCAAGTAGTATATTCCAGATCATTAGGCAATGGTGGGTAAAGTGCATCTTTCACTAGACTAGTAATCCATAGTCACAGGCTGATGCTCCGGGTGTGAGGGTTGAGATGCCACTGTAGCAACTAGTGAAATTCAAATTGATAAAAAAATTGAACATAAAGCTAGTCTTGACAGTGGTGACCATGACAGCTGTCACCGATTGTTAGAGAAATCCCTTTTAAGGAAAGGAGATATGCCATCTTCACCACTGGCTTGCATGTGACTCTAGACCCACAGCAATTCCTAACTGCCTTCAGAAATGGCCAGACAAGACACTCTGTTGAAGGGCACTGAGGGATGGGCAACAAATGTTGGCTGTGCCAGCAGTGCCCACATTCCATGAAAGAATGAAAAAATATCAGTTGAATTTGATATATTTTTATTTATAAAATCCATCAGCGCCCTCATTCTTTTTGCCAGTTCTCTTCCATCTTTGTCCTGTGGTTACTGCTTGCCTCCCCAATAGAATCTGTTTCCCCCTCTCAAAGCATTTTTTTTTTGTTAGATCTTCCCTTAACCTGCTGTGCATTAAATTTAATTTGTTCAGATGTCCTCAGTCTGTCTATGCTCTCTCCTGAAGTCTGCTGCTGTGCCCCTTACTACATTTCCAGGTATTTATGTCGTCTGCAAACTTTGAATTTGTGCCCCCATGTCCCAGTCAGAATGGGTTGTGCACTATTCTCAGAAAAGCAACTGTATATTACCATCAAACTGAAAAGCAACTGGCACCTCCAGCAATGTACTATTTTCTCTGACATTCTTGTGGAGTGTTGGTCAGGATGATACTGGGAGTGGGGCTTGAACCCACAGCCTACAGATGCAGAGTGCTACCCATTGAGCCACATCTGACAGCTGTCCAGCTTGGAGATTACTACTTAAGCTCATTTATATCCTTGTTGGGCACGAGTGGCAGATGAGACATTCCCTCTTCCATCTATTAATAAATATGCCACACATCCCATCATCTATCCCAATAGTAACAAAATGAAGACTTCACAATTCAGTTTGACTGCATCTGACTCTCGTCAAGCTCATGCAATAACAAAACTCCAGATTGATCACCTTGTGGTGAGCAGCACTTCCACCAGCTATTAACAGGTTAAAAATATGTTGAATTTTAACTTTGTATTTCTTTTTGCCAAGGGAATTATTAGCTTTCTCTGTGCAAAAGTGAAGAGAAATTTAAAGAGAAACCATCTTAAGGCTTAGACTGAAGCAGTCAGTTCACAGTTTGGATCAATACAATTAATTGATTGTATTCAGACACATGATAGATGTTTCTGGTTTTTGCTGGAATGAATTTAGATGTAGAATCATTTACATAAATGAAACTTCTCTACATCTAGGCTCACTATGTTACAAATATTGGGTGAAATAAAGTTTGACAAGCCTTGTCATGGCACCATGACATGGTGCTGTGTTGAAGATCTGGTGCACTGTGCCATATCATTGATTGAGCCCCCTCAATCATGAAATGATGCAGCACAATCAGAGGCCATTGGCTCAGTGTGTTTGTGTCGATTCTCTGAATAAGCAAGCTAATTAGCCTCTCTTTCCCTTGGCATGCAGTTTCCCCATTCTTGTAATTTGCCGATTCTCTCTGTAAAGTTATCATGTTTTTAAAAAGATGCTTTTCCCTTCAAATATTAATTCAAATGTTGACTGGATTTCATTTTGGTTCTTTCACAGGGGCATGGGAGACCAAAATCAGTAGCCGGGAAAAACGACAACAGCGCAGACGTGACAAAGGAATAAATGAATCTCCGTCCGTCGATTCTAGTCTCCCTGCAGTTGGATCTGAAGCTGTTCCCGCACAGCAGCACACGGTAGCCTCAGCTGGTCTGGGCCCTCGAAAGACCAAAGGGGTAGAAACTGCAGGTTGGTTAGAAGAGGGGGGACTTCTGTTTTCTTCGTATTCTTTCTTGGGGCACAGGCGTCTGGTTCCAATGTTTTTTTAAAAAAAAGTAGGTCCCTTTAAGAGGAAACCAGAACAGCTTCAATTTTAATTGAGAGCATGTGATGCTCATACGAGTTTGTACTTGAGATCTGGGTCTTCGGCTTCTTGTGGTTATCTCTACCTCTGGGCCGAATGTCCAGATTCAAGTCCCACCTGCCAGGGTCATGTCACAACATACCTGAGCAGGTTGATTGAAAACATAGATGGGTCTACAGTGTTCGTAATTAGGTGTTTTATTTGATGGTGATGGGTTTCTAAAATTAAAAAAAAAAATCTGAGATCTTCCCCAGTAGGTAGTTGGCACCTGGATAGGGAGAGCAAGTGAACTAAAATTGATACTTGTCCTGAATTATAGCTTAACAATAAAACAGTTAACCTTCGAATTGTCATCACCAACCTGATTAAATATATGGATATTGGTGCGTTAAACATCTGAAAGGTCAACATTGAACTGAGTGACTTGTTTAGCCATTTCAGAGATAAGTTGAGTTAACCATGGTATGGATTTGCGTTCAAATGTAGGCTAGACTAGGTAAGCACAGCAGATTTCCTTCCTTAAAAGATGTTAGTGAACTATTAAGCCAGTACTACTCCTTTATTGGTGAGAATTTTGCGGCATGCTCACCCCTATATTTATTTTGAAACCTCAGGATGGTGTGCAATGAATTGATACGCTGAGTACAGTATTGAATGCAGGGCCCTGTTGTTGCAATAACATTTTATTAATTATCCCCTCCCAGAAAACGATGTCTCTAGAATCTTCACCTTACTTTTAAAGGAGCAAAGATCTGATCATCTGCAGTAGTTTTCATGGCATATCAAAGCACATAATAGCTAGTGAATTAGTATGGAATATCTAGTCACTGTTATAGTTAGGAAATGCAGCAGTCAATCTGTACAGAGGAAGCTGCCTGCAAATAGCAATGAGGAAAAACGGCGAGCCTGGTTTTATTTATGTGGTACAAAAACAAAGTTGCTGGAAAAGTCCAGCAGGTCTGGCAGCATCCGTGAAGGAAAAAACAGAGTTAAGGTTTCGGGACCTGAAGAAGGGTCACCGGACCCGAAACGTTAACTCTGTTTTTTCCTTCACAGATGCTGCCAGACCTGCTGGGCTTTTCCAGCAACTTTGTTTTTGTTCCTGATTTACAGCATCTGCAGTTCTTTTGGTTTTTATTTATGTGGTGTTGATTAAGAACTGATTATCAGCTGTCACACTGGGGATATCACCCTTGCCCTTTTTTGAAATAATGCAATAGAAACCTCAACGTCCACCAGAGATGGCAGATAGGCCGACTGTTTAATGTCTCATCTGAAAGATTGCACCTCCGACAGTGCAGGGTTCCCTCTGTACTGCATTTGGGCATGTCAGCACCAATATTTGTGTTTCATTCTCTGGAGTGGGACTTGACTGTAAAGTTTTCTCAGTTACAGTTAAAAAGTTTCGAAGTTAAAAGTGTTACTGATCCACAATTGGTACTTTTTAAAGCAAAGAGTTAATTTATTTCAAGTTTTGATAATAATTATCACTGCCTTCTCTGCATATTGGTAACCAATGGTCAGTAATTACCAAAAACAAGATTTAAGTCAATTAGATTGCTCCTAATTGGCCTAAAATTGCTGTCAGCATATGACCTTTGCAGAGGCAGATTAATTTACTTAGACTCATCAGCATGTACAACTAGTTGAGAAGTTATTGTTAGCATCAATCAACTTGATGTAGATTTCGGTTGCAAAATAAATTTTAAATGTTTCTTTGGCAAAACAGCTTTTAATGAAAGCAGCCACTGTTTCAGGCCAGGTCAGTCTTCTGACAATGAATAAGGCTTGTTGATGTGTTTTCTTTCTTTTTCTTTAAAGTTGCTCCCGGGTGGGGTGAACAGCTAACAGTGAATGGAGGAAGCTGGTGTGATATCCCAGTGAAACTGCCCACTCAGATTAATGCGACTAAGGATGATAAGTGGCAACAAATCCCAGTATTGGCAAATGCAAAAAGAAGCCCGGATCAGCCTGCCTGGGGCCAGGAAAGCAGTGATACCAATGCAGGGGCAAAAGAATGGGCAGTACCCTTAGTTGATAAGACTTGGAGTGAGCATGCACTTTACCCCAGCATTGGTGAGTGTTGAATTGTGTGTCTCTTAATTGAAATATGCTTACATTCGACATGAGGGAGATTGAAGTAATTAATTCTTAATACAGTTGAAGATTTTTGTATGCCTGTCTTTTTCTTGAGCTAAACCTTTGGCTTTGTCGGTAAATGTTGACACTGATTCATAGTACAAAGGGATTTCTGGACTTAGTTGCTAACTCATTTGACCTCAGCCAGGATAGCACTTGAGACGCCCCAACAATAATGAAAGGGGAAATGTGAACTTCCATTTTTGCTGATGAACATTATTTACTGGTCAGTGTAGAATAAAGATTGCCTGTGCTTCTCTGCAATGGTGACCACTACTTGCTGTGTAGGACTGTGCTAAAGAATAGCCACAGTACAGTAGTTACAACAGAGCCAGCCTACACTAGCAGGTTTGTGAGCATACATGGATTAATATTCAATTTATGTTTTCAATGTTTTAAAGGAATACAGGGTTAAAGATTAATCCAAATTCACTACACTTAAGTCTGGCCAGATTGATGAAAGCAAATTTTCTTGTATTTTTTGCACATCTTTTACTTATAACGTGTGTGTGTGTGTGTGTGTGTGTGTCTGTGTATATAAGACATGTGTACATAACTGTTGAGATTAAGCAACCGAGCTCAGAATAGGGTGCAGAAGATTGCAAAAATTAAAAATTCATGAAGTTTATTTCGATTTAAACCTTTTGAACATAATTTAGGATTGACTTTAAAGATCACAGTTTTGGATGTCCATATCTAATAACTAATTTTATTAGCATCTAGCATTCCATTTTATTTACATTCATTAGATTGCACATGATCCAGTGCAGACTTGATTTCTAGATGTAAGTATTAAACCCAGTCATCACAAATAAATGCAAGGTGCAGCAAAGTATTAAAAGTTATGCTTGTCAATTTTTAAGAATCTTGTGCTCCTGTATAGCATTAACTATGGGACTGTTGCCATGATTTGGCTTAAGGATTAGGGTGGGAGAAGTGGATTCCAAGTTGTGGAGCACTGGCACGAGCATGAGGGAAAGTGGGGGGCTGTACCTTTGGTACAGACTTCACCTGAACTGTGCTGGGGTTGGCATTGGAGTCAGTAATGTGACTAAGGAAGTAGAGAGGACTTTAAATTAAATAGGAGAAGGGATCATTGTAGGACAAAATGACATAAATTAGAGAAAATGTTAAGTCAGTAGATCAAGATATCAAAAAAGGTCATGGTGATTGTATGGCGGGAATGACAATGATTACAAACTTGAAAAAGTGTGTGCAGATCGGACCAGAGTTGACAAAAATATATATTTGTAGAAAGGTGAATTAACAACTCTGAATGTCTATCGTGTCAACAATAAAATAAGTAAATTGTCAGCTCAAATAGAAATTCGTATGTGTGATCTGAGAGTCATGATAGAGAAGTGACTACAAAGGAATCAAAGCTGGGACCTGAATATCCAAGGGGGATAGACATTCTTGAAGGACAGAAAGCTTGGAGAAAGTGGTAGGCTTCTTCAGTTAATAAATGAGAATATTAGTACTGTTGTGAGAGAGATTCTAAAATTCAGAATGTTGAATCAGTTTGTGTAGCACGAAGAAACTAAAAGAGGCTGCAGATGGGACTAACAATGATGATGTAAGTTACAGTATAAATCAGAAAATTAGAGGCCCTTGTAACAAGGGCAATACAGAAGTTCAATCTGGGTATCAACCACTAAGCGCTAAAATTGTGTAGTGCGAATTCTTAGAATGATTGCAAAATGGTTTTCCAGTTCAGTACAATGAGGATCTAAGTAGAGAGCAGTTTGTTTGCAGTAAAAAAAAAGCTAATTAATAAGCTCGTTGTAAAATATAATCACATTTCACATTTAAGTTTGGAAGTGATGTGGTTAATCAGAAATTAGGGTCTCAGTTCTGAACAAAAATCTATGAATTTATGAGGGTCACATTGGCTGTTTTGGATTAGGAAACCGTTTTAAAAAGTATGATGGTGACAGACAAATACATTCCTTTAGTGCACAAAAAGACGGCAGGAAAATGTTCTAACCGTGGCAAACAAAAGAAATCCAGAATATATATTTAGATTTTCAGAAGGCTTTCAATGAAGTCACACACAAGAAGATAGTTGAAAAAAAGTTAGAACGCATGGAATTAGGGAAATATACTGCCATGGATTGGGAGCTGGCTAACAGGTAGAAAACAGAGTAAGAGTCACAAATGTTATAACACAGATCACCATTCTGCACGGGCTCGTTAAATGAACATTGTTACCTAGTGCCAATTTCCACATTTTCCTCATACTCTTGCATGGTATTTTTAATCAAATAATCATCCAATGTCCTCTTGAATGTCTCAATTGAACGTGGATCATTTTCAGGTTAGAAGACTGATTCGTGGGGTATTGCCAGGATGAATGCTTGGGTCCTAGCTATCCACAATCTATATCGATACAGATGTGGGAATTGCATGTAATTTTTCTAAGTTTTCAGATAACAGAAGCTAGCTAGGAATGTAAGTTGTGTGAAGGATACAAAGTCACTTGAACAGAATTTGGAAAAGCATCTGAGGTTGTCCATATTGGTTCAAAAACTGAAATACAGAGTATTTCTTAAATGGTGAGAGGTTGGTAAGTGTTGAACTTCAGAAAGGACAGTCAAAAAGTCTTGTTCATGAATCATGGAAAGCTGGTATGCAGGTACAGCAAGCAACTAGGGAGGCAAATGTTTTTGTTAGCTTTCATCAAAAGAGGCTTTGAGTAAAGGAATAAAGATATGTTACTGCAAAGATGCAGAGCTTTGGTAAGAATTTTATGGAGTTTGGAAGAGTAAGAGGTGATCTTATTCATATATCCAAGATCCTTACAGGGCTCAATGGGATTGAAGCAGGAAGGATGTTTACCCTAGCTGGGAATGTTGAGACCAAGGATAGTAAGGGGCAGGCGTTTAGAATGAAGAGGAATTCCTTCACGTGGAGAGTGGTAAATGTTTGGAATTGTTGGCCCAGAGGTCTGTGGATGCTCAGTCAGTGAGTATGTTCTAGACTAAGGTCAATAAATTTTGATGGATTGAAAACACTGAGAGATACAGGGATAGTGAAAGAAAATAATGTTGGGATAAAAAGACGATCAGCCATAATTCCATTGACTGGTAGAGTGAGTTTGAAGGCCTGAATGGCTGCCACCTGGTCTTTTTTTAATGTTAGTAATTTAATCATAACATCAAAGAACTTGCAGCACACCTCATTTGGCCCACCCTGTTTCTTTGAAAGGGCATTCAAACTTAGTCCAACAAATCTGTCCATTCCCTTTCAAAACATTTGTGGAATGAGCTTCCACAACGTTTTTGGATGATGCTTGAGGAAAAGAAAATTGTCCTCATCTCCCGTGTAGTTATTCTGCTAGTTATTATAAAACGGTGGCCTCTGGTTATTGACCCTTTACCACAGGGAATTTTTTTTCTTGATCTTCTCTCTCAATCTCTCATCATCTTGAAAACCTTCATTATCACCTCTTCGTCTTCTCTTTTCCAAGAAGAACTGTCTGAACTCTTACAACTTTTCTTCAACTATGTTGATTCTGTATGATCAGTTTGAATTTTCCTCAGTCCCTTGCTGTAATGTCTTTTATAATGGTCTAACCTCTTCCAACATTTCCCTTATGACAGTTAACTGGCCTGTATCTTGGGATTCTCTGTTTCCCTCCTTTTATGAATAACTCATTATCTTCCAATGTAATGGCAGCTTCCCCAAATCGAAGGAATTTTGGGAAATTGCAATCACTGCCTGAACTGTTTCCCTAGCGATTTATTTTAAGATCATGAGATGTAGTCCGTCAGTACCCTGAGAATTGTCAACCTGCAATACTTTGCTCAGTACCCTTCCCAGGAAATTGTAATTTTCCTTGAGTCCTTCCCTCATTTCCATTTCCTAACTGACATTTATTTCTGGGATGACACTTAAATTCTCTGAAGATTCATACAAATTACCTGTCCAATTAATCTGCCATCATCATGTCTTCAATTATCTGTTCCCCAGACTCACTTTTTATAGGATCAATGCCCACCTTGTTAACTTTTAAATACATTTGTAGAAGATCTCACTACCTGTTGACTGACATCTTTTTTTTTTAGTAAATGTATCCTTTTTCTTTTACTTCAATACTGTCTTTAACTCTTTCAGTCAACCAAGGATTGCGGATCCTCCATGTGGAACTTTTGTTTTTAATTATTTGTCACAGGATATGAGCATCTCTGACCAGGCCAGCATTTACTGCCCATCCCTAATTGACCAGAGGGCAGTTAAGAGTCAACCGCATTGCTCTGGGTCTGGAATCACATGTAGACCAGATGAAGTAAGGATGGCAGTTTCTTTCCCTAAAGGGCATTAGTGACCAGACGGGTTGTTACATGTCAACAGTGGTTAAATGCTCACCATCTTTATTATATATTTTTTAAAATTGAATTCAAAAGTCAACATCTGTCACAGCAGGATTCGAACCCATGTCCCCGCAACATTCGCCAGTGACATTACCACTACAACCATTTTGTAGACCTTAATTTATCAGTTCATTTTATTTGCTTTCGTGCTTTCATAATTGCCGTTATTTATGTTTTAAAATGCTCTTCTTGAGCCTGTAGTAGTCTCCTTTAAACTAAATTTAAAATGTAATTTGGTTAAACTAGGGATGTCTTCACTACAAAGTCATGAATTAATCCTATTCCTTTCCACTAGATAGGATGTGGCTTGTTCTCTTGCTCAAGACATGCTGTTCTCAGAAGCCGAAAACATTCCACAGATTGTTCATCTCGGCTACCTTTGCACATCTAATGTTTCCAGTCTATGAATTGATTAAAACCCCCATAATTATTGCTGTATAATTTTGGCAGCCTCCCATTATTTCTTCCTTTTATACTCCATCCCATCATATGGTTACAATTAAGAGGCCTGATTACCACAAGCGACTTCTTGCCTATATCATTTCTCATAACTACCTCCAAACTGCTTCCGATTTCTGGTTTCCTGTAAAGCCCTCCTATTATGCCATTATAATCAATAATTAAGAGAGCCAGTCCCTCCACCTTTTCATAGCTACCTATTCTTGCTAAATATCATTTACCCTTTAAGCTCCCACTCCATGCCAGTCTCTGTAATGGCTATCAGATTAAACTGATTTTTTTTGGCATTATCAGTTCGTCTGTTTTGTTTCAAATGCATTATTTTATTACTATAGCCATTATTTTATTACTTTTTTTTATTATTTTTGTTACCTCTCGCCTAATCTGTTGATTTAACCTTAGATTTGTACGCTCCGAATTTAGTGTTTATTTTGGTCCCTCCAGTTGATTGAGATCATTTTTTGTTTGAGCTCTAGTGTTAGAGGTTTAAGCAGAGACCTTTCTGCATGGGTGCCTCAATTTTCTATTATTGCCCAGGAGACCAGCTGACTCAATACCTAATTTTGTGACCAGGTGGAAATTTTATGGGAATAGAGCTGAATTTTTACTTGACTAATTCAAGCAGCTGATGTTAACAAAACTCGGGTTTCTGTCGTCAGTGATGTGAGATCTTATTTTACTCCATCATGATGGTGTATATGTGACTTCATGTTTATTCCTGTGCTAACTTGTCATCCATTCCCCCTCAATTGTTTATTATCCCAAAAAGGAGGCCATTAGGCCCATTTGTTCCATGCCAGCTCTCTGGAACAATCCATTTGCCCCATTTCCCTGTTCTCTCTTAGTCACCCTGCAAGTGTATTTGCTTCAAGTGTCTTTCTACAATTTTATCCTTTATAAGAAATTCGGTAAAATCACCTATTTGTCCAAGTTTTTGGTCACTTGTCCTCATGTTTCTCTCCAACTTGTTGTAATGTTTTGTTGATCCTGTCAACACCCTTCATGCCTTGTTGTGTTAAGGCAGATGTTAATTGTATGTTTTGTTGTTTTTTTTACAGGGGCTTGGGCAGGTGTCAATAACAGGATGAATACCTCAGAGCAGAAACCTCCTTTCTCTACTGCAGGGGCGAATGCTGCAGTAGCCAGTAAATATTGATTTTATGGTTTTTTATAGTTTTGAAACCACTCCACTGTAGAGATAGAAATTATTCTTGTCATGAATCTGTTCATGTTCAGCTGTTACTTCAGCCATTGCGCATTTGATTATTCAGATGTATAGGTGTTTTCTTAGTGTAACCCTTTACGTGCGCTATTCAGTATGTATGCTGCCCAGGATACACCTGAATGAATTAATGGACCATTTCAGAGTGCAGGTCAGAGCAAGTCATGTTGCTGGGGTAAACCAAACTGATTTAAGGATGGCAGGTTTCCTTCCTTTCTCAGATGGATTTTTATAACAACCTAGTAGCTATATGGCCAATATTGCTGACATTAGCTTTTAGTTTCATAATTTCACAGAATTATATAATTAGACCAGAAGGTATAGGAGCAGAATTAGGCAGTTCACCCTATTGTGTCCGCTTCACTATTCATTCATGGCTGATATGTTTCTCAATCCCATTCTTCTGTCTTCTCTTAGTTACCCATGATCTCCTTACTAATCAAGAATTTATCAAACTCTGTCTTAAATACACTCAGTGACTTTGTCTTCTGCAGCAATGAGTTCCACAGATTCACCACCCTTTGGCTGAAGGAATTCTTCCACACATTAGTTCTAAAGGGTCGTCCCTTCATTCTGAGGCTGTGCCCTCAGGCCCTTGTCTCTCCTAGTGGAAACATCTTTTCCACGTCCTTTCTGTATAGGCCACTTGGTATTCTGTAAGTTTCAATCAGATCCCACTTCATCTTTCTAAACTTCGAATACAGACCCAGATTCCACCAATGCAGCACATCCATCCTTCGATAGAGGGCCCAAAATAGCTCATGATATTCTGAATATGGTCTGAGCCTCAGCAGTACATCCTTACTGTTATATTCTGGTCCTCTTGAAATGAAAGCTGACATTGCTTTTCCCTTCCTAACTGCCTACTGAACCTGCATGTTGATCTTAAGAGAATCTAGAACTCTAACTTCTTGGTGCTTTAGATTTCTGAAGCTTTTCCCCATTTAGAAATTAGTCTGTGCCTCTATTCTTCCTACCAACATGCATAACCTCACTGTTTTCCACATTGTGTTCCATCTGTCACTTCTTTGTCCACTCTCCTAGCCTGTCCATGTCCTTCTGCAATCTCCCCACTTGCTCAACACTATCTGTGTCTCCACCTATCTTTGGGTCATCTGCAAGCTTAGCAGCAACATCCTCAATTCATTCATCCAGAACATAAAACAACATAAATAGTTTGGTTCCAACACAGAGCCCTGTGGGACTCCCCTAGTCACTGGCTGCCATCCTGAAAAAAGACCCCTTTGAGTCCACTACCTGCCTTCTGCCAGTCAGCCAATCCTCTATCCATGCCAGTACCTTGCCCCTAACACCATGGTTCTTATCTTATTTACCAGCCTCCTGTGCAGCACTTTGTCAAAGGCCTTCTGGAAATACAAATAGATCACATCCAATGGCTCTCCTTTGTCTAAACTGCTTGTTACCTCCTCAGAATTCTAACATATTTGTCAGGCATGACCTCCCCTTGGTGAAGGCGTGCTAACTCAGCCCTGTTTTACCATGCACTTCCAAGTACTCCGCAGTCTCGTCCTTAATAAATGAGAGCAACAACCGAGGACTGGCCTGTAATTTCCAGACTTGTAGCTCCTTCCCTTCTTAAACAGGGGTCTTACATTAGCTATTTTCCAGTCCTCTTGGACCCTCCCTGACTCAAGTAATTCCTGAACAAATGCCTCTACAATCTCCTTTGCTGTCTCCTTCAGAACTCTGGGCTGTAGTCCATCTGGTCTGGGTGATTTGTCCACCTTCAGACCTTTCAGCTTTCCCAGTGTCATCTCCCCAGTGATGGCTGCTACACTCGGCTCCTGAAGTTCTGGCATGCTACTGGTGTCTTCCACTGTGAAGACTGATGCATAGCATGTACTCAGTTCCTCCACCATATCTTTATTCCTCATTACGACTTTTCCAGCGGTCCACTGTCCATTCTTGTTTCTCTGTTACCTTTTTGTATATCAAAGCAACTCTTACAATCCTCTCTTATGTTACGAGCTAGCTTATACTTCATCCATCATATTTCATAACTCATACTTCATCTTCTATTCCACACCCCCTGCCCAAAAACATTTTTTTTTTTTAAGTTATGCTGAGCCGGATTTCAAGTCTTCACTACATTGTATGTTTTTTCTTTTTTTATGCTGACCCCAAATTCTCTTGTCACCCATAGTTGCCTTGACCTGCCCTTAGTATGTTTCTTCTTCCATATTACCCTCAGAAACTAATGCCATTGCTGCTTCACTGTCTTCTCTGATAAACTCTCCCTTCCAATCAACTCTGGCCATCTCTTCCTCCATGTCTTTGTAGTTAACTTTACTCAATTGTAATGCTGTTACATCTGATTCCAGCTTCTCCCCGTCAGACTGCAGGATGAATTCACTCTGGTCACTGTAAGCTCGGTTTCCTTCACCTTAAGTTCCCTAATCAAGTCTACCTCATTGCACTTCACCAGTCCAGAATTGCATGTTCCTAATTGGTTCTACCGTAAGCTACTCCAAAAAAAAAAACCCATGTCTTGATATGCCACAAATTCCTTTTCTTGGGATCGAGTGCCAGCCTGATTTTCCTAGCTTATCCAAATATTGAATTCCCTCATGATTGTTGTAATAGCGCCTTTCTTGTATGCCTTTTCTAACTCCTCATTTATTTTCTTCCCCATATCCTGACTCCTGCCAGGAGGTCTGTGCATAACTCCTATAAAGGTCTGCCGTTCCTCAATTCTACCTACGCAGTTTCTGTGCCTTCTAATCAGTTGAATTTAAATTCCACCAGCTGCGGTGGTGGGATTTGAATTTAAATCTCTGGATCATTCATCTAGATCTTGGATTGCTACTCCAGTAATGTAGCCATTATGCTTCCCTACCTGCGTCTGAAGTTAAATGGTGACTCTTATGACAATTTGATGATTTCCAAACTGGTACTTTGATTTTCTGATATTGAAACTAAAAGGCTTGCTATGACAGACTAAAGGGAATGTTTCTTTTAGTTGTAGCTGCTCTGGGAGTTTCTGAATCTGAAATGAAGTGATACATTTCTTTCTCCACTCAAATTCTCTTATCGATTACAGAGATTGTCGAGGGGAGACCGTATTGATTTGAGTGTGTGTGTGAACCTGTCAAATTAACTTGAATGTTAAAGTAAATTGTCCGTTTCTCTTCCCTTGTTAAATTATTTGATGTACAAACTTAAATTCACGAAGCAGTCTTCATATCCTTAGGTGTCCCGAGTGCTTTAAAGAATTGCGTCTGAAGTGCAGTCAAGTCAATGTTATATAATAGACAAATGCAGCAGCCAATGTGCATATAGCATTGAGGAATTGATGTTGGGCTGGACTTTGGGAGGATTGATTAAAATGCCAAGTTAAGTCTGAACCGCCCTCAATATTAATTTTAAAGTACTCATTATTAATTATTCATGAACTTTAATTGTCAAGTTGGCTTACAAACGTTGGAAAGAGCCCCTATTCTATGAATATAACGAACAGGCAGTGGATTGAGAGACAGATTAGCCATCATCTGATTGAATAGCTGGATAGACTTGAGGGCTGAATGGCCTCCTCTTGTTGTGCTGTTATATTCCTTTGGAATGGAGAAGGAAACTGAAACAGGCTTATTATAGCATTGTTTTGAAATGTCACGAGGTGCCAAATTTTAAAAGGGGAGGTATTTATTTCTAAGACTTCTTTAAAAATAGATTCCTATTCTCAGCAGCCAAGGATACGAGGTTTGGTCAATCAAACTTGGCAATCTTGTAACTTTTTTAATGATGCACGGGTGAGTGTAGAAAAGGCATCCAGTCCCTAAGTGATTATTGAACCCTTGCTTAATGACATCTGGGACTGAGTGCTGAAGACCCCACCATCATCTACATTTTGTCCATGTTTAAAAGGAAAAACGTCAAATTCTCAGTGACTTGGAACAATGCATTAACTAATCATCCAACTCTTGTTAAATAAAATGATGGATGAGGTAACATGCCCTTTAGATCTAGATGAGGGAAGTACCTATTTGTACTGCATAAATTTGAAGTAATAGATAAAATGAAGAATGCATTGCAATAAAGAAATGCCATTTTTCACAATAGTTGTTATAAGTTTAACTAGCGTGGGGTGGGGTTTGTGGTGTTCTATGTGAACTGTTGTCTCCTTAATCAAAAAATGCAAAACTTGTCTATTTTGCAAAAGATATGCAGCCGTGGTATGTAGGCATTACTGAATAGGCCAGTATTCATTACTCCCTCCCAGTTTTTACCAGAGGGCAGTTAAGAGTCAACTACATTGCTTTGGGTCTGAGGTCACATATAGGTCAATATCCTTTGTTCTTTTTAGGCTAAGTTGACAATTAAAGTTCATAAATAATTTGTAATGAGTACTTTTAAATTGGTGGTGGTGGTTGGGGGCTGGGGGGGAGGGGTGGTGCACAGGGACATAAATAGTAGGAATCTTTTTCCCAAGACAGAAATGTCATTTATTAAGGGACATAAAAGGGGAAAGTTTAAAGCTGATATGAAAGGTAAGTTGTTGTACACAAAGGGTGGTAAGTGCCTGGAATGTGCTGCCAAAGGAGGTGGTGGAGGTGGATAAAATCACAGTGTTTGAGATAAACGAATAGGCAGGGAATAGAAACATACAGACCTCGCAGAGGTAAAAGGTTTTAGATTGGAAAGGCATCGTGTCGGTGCAGTCTTAATGGGACAAAAGGCCTGTTCTATTTTAGTTGGCAGTACTGTGATTTCAGTACCACAAACCATCCAGAATGTGCCAATAAACAGTAGGATGCGGGTTTCTTACCAGCCCAAATTAAAAATTTCAGAGTTAGTTAACATGATGTTGAAATAAGTAATATTAGGATTAATCAGTAACTATTTTCACCAAAGGGAAATAGGGCCATGGCACACATTGAAGGAACGCTAGGGACAGAAGCCCTCATCTGATTTTTTTAAAAAAAGACACTTGAGTGTTAACCAAAAGGGTTAGGGCACACGAGCTTTCAGCCAGCACACGGATGATGGGTCACATGGCCTCTTTCTGAGTGCCACATTTTGCTGTGTTTGTTTGAACACTCTGAATTTTGCAATTAAGTAATTCCACTGGACTTCTGTCAATCAAGTCAATGATACTTTTGAGTTTACAGTTACTGATACCAAATTGTTATTTTTGAGGTCAACATCTCCCCCACATTTTATTTATAAAATTGTAGCCAGTAGTGTTATCTCATATCACCAGTCCAATACGGGTTGAATCTTTCTTCATTTTCCATCATCAAAACACTTCTTGAAAGATCAGCTGGATTAGAAGGCCCAGTCACAGCCATTTCAATCAAGGTATTTCTCCACACTTGCCATTCTATTGCCAAAATACAAGTATTTTGTCAAAGTTTTTGGTCTTGTATTTATCATGATATTTTGCAAGAATATAAATTCACAACGACAACTAACATTTATACTGCGTGAGAGGGGTATACTGATTGGTTAGCCAGTGAATTTGAGGCATTGTCATGGAGAATGCATCTATTAATGCTGATTGCCAGTTAACATCCAGGCTTTATTTAAACTTAAACCAGGCAGGATGACTCTGTTTGGACAGACTAATTCCCTGAGAAATGAGCCAGCAAATGGCTGTCAATTATTTTGTTGAATTGAAACAGATGCAGTACCTGTCCTTGTTCTTTCTGTCTGAAAGGAATGGAACCCTGTGGGTTAATATTTGTAGCTTCCAATATGTAAACTTATATCTCACTGAAAGCCTAACTGACAATCCTAAATTAGGTATTAATGCCATTCCTTGCATATTCAAGATTATCCAACAAATGTCCAATTGAAAATATGAGATGCTGTGTTGAAAGTTTTTGAGAGTGTAAGCTGGTTGGATACAGTCAGTACCTTGCTGGTTGTGAACAACTGAATGGACATGCTGGCAATCTTTGGGATGTATAGCCCATACCTGGCATCTCACTACCATTGAAGTTCATATACCACGTTACTTATTTGTTTGATAGTCAGAATGTCTTTTTGGCTTGACAACAGCATCTTATTAGTGGCAAACATTTATTCATATTGTTACTGCATAGCAGCATGAAGTGGATAGTTTCACCTTTTGCTCAAAGCTTGCAATACCTTACCCTTCCTGGACAATCTGGGGTAGACATTTGCTGGATGTTTTCTCAGGGCATTAACCCTACCTGGTTTAAAGTTTAAACAAAGCTTCACAGTTAATAATCAAACAGCGTCAATGATTGCATTTTCTATAGCAATGTCACTACCAATCAGTGTCTACTTATCAGCCAATCAGTACTCTTCTCTCATGCAGTGCAAATGCTTATTGGTATTCCTCTGAGTTATCCTGATAAATGCAAAATGAAAAGCTTTGACAAAATGTCTTTTTTCAACATTACTCAAGTGCTACATAACCAAACGACTGCCTACCATAGTTTACCATCCTGCAGTTCGATCTCAAGTATTGGTGATGGTGTTTTGTTTTCACAAAGTAAACAATGAGGATTTAGTTAAATTTTTAACCAAAAGCAACAAACCTTGACTCATTTTACATTTCTTCTGGTCCAGATCCTCCCTACTAGTTTGAGCAGTTATCTTTGAAACCAGTTTTTTTTATGCCAGTTTAGTCATGTATAAATTGCTCTTCCCTTCCCCAGGTACCTCCAGTGAGCCAGCCTCCCAGTCAAGCACCACTGATCATCATTGGGATGCCAACCCGGCACCCAGCCCTGTTGACGATGCCTGGTCTGGAATAAGTACGTGTTTTTCTCTAATAGTGAGCAAATCACTTGTTGATATTGGACAAAGTCAAATGAATGTTTCATGAACATGGTAAAAAGGAGAACAAAACAAAAGTCAATTAATCATTATAACCTGAAATATAGCTGCCACCTACTCCAAAAGTAAAAGCATTGGCAGCATTAAATGACCACTTGTACCATGAGGATAATTTTGGATGCACTATATTGGTATCATTCTTTCTAAGCCAAATGAAAGTGGAATCTTGTTTGACAAACCGAAGAACCCTAACTAGTAGAATAAATGAGTGAGAAGCAGTGCATGTCCCAGATTTGGATTTTCAGAAAACTTTTGAGAAAGTTTCATGTAAGAGGTTAGCATGCAAAATCAAAACATATGGGATTGATGCGAATGTGTTAATATGGATTGAGAATTAGTTTGCAGACAGGGAACAGTAGAAATAATGGGACAAATATGGAGAACACTGGAGAAACCCCTCGGTATTGTTAGCAGCATCTGTGGAAAGAGCAACAATTAACATTTTGAGGCTGGTCTGATTGTTCAGGTTGAAGCAGGAATTTATTTAAATTTGTAGGATTTTCAAAATAATTTCTGTTTGTGGGAGAGTCTACAAGTAGAGAAAATGGCTTTGAATTTGGATCCAGATGATTCCAAATAGGTTAGTTAGGAAGTAGTTCTTCATGTAACGGATGCTAAAGGTGTGGAAGATTTCCACAAAAAGCAGCAGGTGCTAGCTAATAAATTTTAAATCTCGGGTAGTTTAATTTTTGCATGCCTTGGATATTGAGTGAACTGGAGCCAAGATGAGCAGATCAAGTTGGGATGCTGTGCAACCATGATCTCATTGAGTGGCGTACTCCTATTCCAGTATCAGGGAAGATCTAGCTTGAACTCTAGGGAAATTTTCAAAAAAAAACTGCTTGTGGCCCAAGTCATGAATGTTCAATCTTTAGCTGTTTGTGATTGCAGTACATGAATTTCTAATCAATTATTTTTAATTATTTAATTATCTAAGGATCACAAGTCCTGAAATAAGCGCAGTTACTTAGTGCATCAAAGCTTGTCTGTTGATCTTGAAGTGTTTGGGTAGAATACGTTTACAATTGGAGGTAATTGCAGGGGAGTAGGTCAAAAATAGGGCAGGGAGACAAACAGGTTTGCTCTGTCAAAGGGCTGGCACAGACTTGATGGTCCAAATAACCCAGTGTTGCTCTACTGTCTGACTGAGTGTAACTTTGCTGCTATGTCAAAAGCCAAGACATGTTGGGCGTCCAATATCTAGTACTAATACCCATTCATTGTTTTGATTTCATCAGTCTTTTCCACAAATCTTTTCAAAGGTATTCCTTGATAATCAATACTATAATAGGGTTTCTGTATCTGAAGGCATGTAGGCTCAATATCCTGAGGTGAAATTACCCACAGTTAGCTTATCAAGGGTGTCTTTCAGCATAGAAAATTTTGAAAAGCTGAGGTGCATTTTAAAGCTTCTGTTCTGAGGCACATATAGGACCAAGTACTTAATACTAACGTACCCTGTATGGATTTATTATGCAGCCATGGCAAGCTGCAGTTGTAATTGCTGTTTTCCCCAGAGTGGTTATAAATTGTTGTTTACTCGTAATTGAATTCCCTCCAGGGTTTATTTTAGAGATATGTTCTATGTTGCGCTGCCAGAATTTACACTGTAATTGATGGGAGCCTAAAGTAAATGCAGTTTGAAAAATGTCTAGAGATAGTAGGAACTGCAGATGCTTTAGAATCTGAGATAACATGGTGTAGAGGTGGATGAACACAGCAGGCCAAGCAGCATCAGAGGAGCAGGAAAGCTGACGTTTCGAACTTAGACCCTTCTTCAGAAATGGGGGTGGGGAAGGGTGGACCTATCTTCTCCTCTATCCATCTTCTATCCGCCTCCCCCTCTCTCCCTATTTATTTCAGAACCCCCTTCCCCTCCCCCATTTCTGAAGAAGGGTCTAGGCCCGAAACGTCAGCCTTCCTGCTCCTCTGCTGCTTGGCCTGCTGTGTTCATCCAGCTCTACACTGTGTTATCCTATATATGAAAAATGTCTAGCTGTATTTCTCAAGAATCTTGTTTTTCCTTTTTCACCCATTTGTATATCTCCACCTTTTCATTACTTATATTTTATGCACTGAGATTCTTTGTTCAAGAATGAAAGATTAACAATTTATGCTAGGCCTTTATTAAAGATCTTGAATTTTTACCTTGTTTCTCTCCGTTCTGCAGTTTGCTTGATATAATTTTATTGGCTATCTCATTTTCAGTTTTCTTTACAAAAGTTGTCATTTGCCAAGATGTATCTGTCTGAAACGGGCCCCCTAATTGGTTGTGGTTTTCTTTTAAGGCTGCTTATGATAAAGACAAGTGTATGGTATCTGCAGAAATGGCAACAGCCTCATTGATCTGTTAAGATTCTCAGTTGGTGGTTAACCCCAGAATTGCATGTCTGCCTTGCCTATAAGATCTGAAGTAAAGTATTCAGCGTTAGTCATTTCAAATTGGCATAATTCCTGCATGCAACATTTCACCTTGTTTTAAATGTATAATTGATCATTGATTTGAAGAGCCTTAAAAAGTCCCAAAGATTTTAAATTACTGTCCTTAAATCTTCAGCGTATTTCTGTATATATCATTCAGTCTGTGCTAGAAGCTGGAATATATGATTCAAAATGAATTCAGAAGTTGATTTAGTTTAGTAATTTCACCCATTAACTTTGTTTCAAATTTTGGCCACCATTCTACAGATGGAATTTCGACAGCAGACCCAAGTTCTGACTGGAATGCTCCAACAGAAGAGTGGGGAAACTGGCTGGTGGAAGAAAGCACTTCTACAGCACAGCCTGAGGATGTCGTTGCAGAAACTCCAAAGGTTAGTATCCCTGGCCATTGTTGCTGTGTTTTCCTTCTGCGACCATCCCTTCTCACTAGTGCCAGCGCTTATATACTTGATACAGCAGTGGGGCAACACCTGGCAAATTAGTAGAGAGAGAGTTCAAGTAAAAGAGCAGGAATATCTTGCTAGAATTGTACAGGGCATTAGACTACATCATGTAGCACTGACGTATGAAGAGAGGTTGGATCGGTTAGGGCTATGCTCGTTGGAGTTGCAAAGGATGATAGATCTTGCAGAATCCTATTAAATCCTAACAGCACTAGACAGGATAATTGCGGGAAGGATGTTCCCAGTGACCGGGAACCAAGAACCAGGGGTCACAGTTTTAGAACTAAGGTGAGGAGGAATTTCTTCACCCAGTGAGTGGTGAGCCTGTGGAATTCTCTGCCAGAGAAAACAGTTGAGGCCAAAATATTGAACGTTTTCAAGACAGAGGTAGATTTAGTTCTTGGAGCTCAAGGGATCAAAGGGTGTGAAGCAAAAACGGGAGCAGGGTACTGAGTTTAATGATTGATCAGGCTCGAAGGGCTGAATGACCTAATCCTGTTCCTATTTTCGATGTTTCCATTTTGCAGTAAATCAGTTGCATGCAATGTTAGTGAGAGAAATAGTGTGCATGTACTTAGCTTCTATTTTTACAGTCTGCTAACTGGGATTACACGTTGATCACAGGGTGTATTCAAACCCATGAACTTTGAAGTTAAGACAGATATATCTCTTCTTAAAAAGTTGCTGGACCTAATTCATGAATATTATTTCAAATTCCATGACCATATTTTATAGAAGTATTTTGTTCAACGGTTATTTTGTAAAATTTGAGACTAGTGCTGTTTAATAGCAACAGGAAGTAAAAAGTCAGAATTTCAGAAAGTTCATGGCACAGAAAGAAGCTGCTGTCCTTTCCCTTCACCACAAAAAAAAAGCTATTCGACCTTATCTCACTTTTTCAGCTTTGTTCTATAGTTTTGCTGGTTTTACTGCTTAAAGCAACAGTGGTTTCTCTCTTGACCATCCTTTCTGGTAGAGAGTCCCGCACCCCTGCCACCCTTGGGGTGAAAACCTTATCCTACTTCTATCTCGTCTTCCTGCCAAGTAGTCTATAATCCACACCAACCCATCCCTGCCTATGCTCAGGGGAATATGTTCTGCATCTCCACTTTCTCTCTTGACTCCTTGTAAATTTGTACCCCTCAATTAAATTCCAACCTCCAAAGGGGAGAGTCCCAGCTTTCTCCATTTTTAATCAGAATTCTCTATTTCTGGCAGCATCACTGTTGACCCGCCCCCCTGTGCCACCTCAAGTAGATTCAAATTAAAATGATGGCTGTTTTTCTTCCCCTCTGATAGAGCTGTGTTGGCCTTGAATTACATGTTGCATTGTTCTGCTCAGGGGAAGATGACAGTTTAAAAACAATCCCTTCCAAAAATGGAAGAAAGGACAAATTCCAAACAATGAATTCAAGCTGTATGGAAGGAATAAAAATAAAAGGGAAAAACATGAGCAAACTGGGCAACATGTCAAAGCGACGCTAGTGAACAGTGCAGAAATGAGATTAACAAAAGGAAAAAGAAAATTACAGTAAATAAGTAAAGATTATAAGACAGCAAACAAAAGAATGAGATGGAAAAAATATTAGAATGGATAGATCTGACGTTGTCTGTTGTCTGCTGCCTTGTCGATCCCTCCAGAATCAATATAGGCTGAAGAATCCTACTTGCTTTGAAAAACCACTAAGTTTTTTAAATTGATACCATCATTCCTTCTTTCAACACTAGGAACTCTATGCAGAGCCAAACTGAAGTAGCAAGACTGTGACATTTGCAGCTGTTCCATTTGTTACTTTGGAATTCCCAGCTGCATTGAGCATTGCTGTACTTGAACTTTTTGGGAGGGGCGGGCAGAATGGGGAAGAGTTGCTTCTCCTGAGAGACCTCGCCTAATACCTCTTCGCCTTTTAACGGTGCTATTTAGTGACTCTTGCCAGTTGGCTTAATTTTCAGGTGGATTTTGTAAAACACTTCAACAAAGAATCAAATAAATTCAAGGGGTAGAGAGATCATGATGAATGCAATATTTATGTGCAGATATTTGAATAAACTTGTTCAGTCTATGCTAATGTCACTATTTACTGAGTAAGTTGTTGTGAGCAACAATTGGGATTGCCTTGGGATTGCAAATTTCACAGTTACCTCAAGCGCCAAAACATGAAGTGAAGAAAATAATTAATTCATGGTTGAATTAGTTTTAGCAATGCTATTTTCCCCCTGAATTTAAACTGCTGCTAAATGCAAACAAATGTTAAAAATAGGAGCACAAAATGTGAACAAAAGGCATTAATAGCCGTTTCGGTATTTGCAAAGCTACCAAAAGCATTGCTAATAACAGTGATGTTTTGATTTTATTTATGGTATTTTGATCTCTCTTTGCCACTGTGATTTGCTATTTTGGGTACTTGTATTCAGTAGAGAGTGGCTCAGCTGTCAGAAGCAGCAAAGTCTGTCAGTGACTTGCACGACAGGAGTAATGTGGAGTGGTGTCCTTAATGGTTCCAGGTGCCATTTGGGAGCCACCTGAGTTGGAGACCTTCAGTAACACCTGACACTCGAGTGGCAGCCCTATGCTCAGCTTATGAAGCCACCTCCCAAATGTCACCCGGGGCTATAAAAAAAATCGGTTAGAAATATTTTGCATTGCCATCTTCAGCAATATCAGCTGAGGGGAAGCTCCCTTCTGACTTTCGAAATATGAAAGTAACAGCATTCCCCGGTAAAACCGATGTGAAATTTAGCCAAGAAGGCATTAGTAAGTGGCCAAAGAGAAAAAGCCAGTGTAATGAGAATTTTTTCCTTATTAGCATGTTGTGCTGATCTGGAGTTTACTGTTTCAAATGGCGGTAAAAGTAGATTTAATGATATTTTTTAAAAGGAATTGAACCTTGACTTAAGTAATATTTGTCAGGCTGTAGAGGAAGGCAAGTAGCAATGTAATTTATTCAATAGGTTCTTCAAAGTCTATAATGGCTTGAAGGGCTGAATGTCCTCTGATTCTGTACAAGGTAAATTGATAACTTCAGGAGGGTGCATTCGAAGGCAGGCAAGTAAGAGTAAAATCTACATATTAAAATGTTGGTACGAAAAAAACTTTTATTCCAGGATAAAATGTAATTCTTTGCACTCCCGTTTTATGAACCTTCAGTCCTGATCTACTAACAACATAGTCCACCCTTGCAGCCTGATGGAGAGGCTTACAGATTAGCACAGGAACTTGATTGGTCTGTTGAAGAAGTTGCAGAATACTTAAGAACTGGTGTGTTCCATTTGTAGCTGTCAGATGAAGATAAAGAGAAAGTGGACTTGGGTCTGCAAGGTTCTGCAACCAGCAAATCAAAGAAGAAGAAAAAAAAGAAGAAAAAGTGCGAAGATGCTGCTGCTGCTCCTGTACAAGTAAGCAAATCAGTCTGATTCAGTCACACGTAAAAACCAAGCTGTGCCTTCAAGTTATAAAAAAAGTAAGGGTACTACTTCACAGAATCAGAGGCGTTACAGCAGCAAGTGGCCTACGGCCTCTTCAAATTAGCACCATTTCATACTTCCAGTGTCTTTTTTTTTGTTATTTTTCTTGAAATAATTCTCCAGTACAGTCTTGAATGCCTTGACCAAACCTCTCTCCATACTTCCAGACTCTGTGTTCCATAATATCTCAAAGCCCTCAAGATATTAACAGGAAAAGAAAGAGTAGGTCAAGATAAACTATTTCAATTGGTTGGAGATTCTAGAACTTAGGTGCATGGTCTGAGAATTAGGGCCAGACCATCCAGGAACGATTTTAGGAAGCACTTCTACACACAAAGGGTGATAGAGGCTTGGAATTCTCTTCCACAAATGGCAGTAGATGCTGGATAAGTTGTTAACTTTAGATGTGAGACAGTTTTTTGTTAAGCAACAGTATTCAGGAATTTGAGCCAAAGGTAGGCATATGGAGTTAGGTCCCACACTAGCCATGATCTCATTGAATGGCTTGAGGGGCTGAATAGCCTACTTCTGTTCCTATGTTCCTGCACTATATCTCATTTTTTTTCCTCTCATCACTTTAATTCCTTTTGCATATCACTTGTAATCCGTGCCCTCTAGTGTTTGATCCTTTCTTGAATGGGAACAGTTCCTCCTATCTACCCGATCAATCCCACTCATGGAAAGCCCCTATCAGATCTCCTCCTCTTCTCTCCAAGGAGAACAATCCCAACTTCTTAAATCTATTATCATAACTGAAATTTCTCATCCCATAAATTATTCTTGTAAATTGTTTCTGCAATCTCTCCAATGCGTTCACATTCTTAGAGTGCCCAGAAATAATAGAAGATTCTTAGTACACAGCGAAAAAAGGAGAACACATATAGGAAGTTATGAGGGGGCTTTGGGCAAGATCCAGGAAGGAGAAATAGTTTGTACTGACAGGTAGGTCAGTAACCAGACAACACAGTTTTATGGTAACTCAAAAGAACGAGAGGGGGAGCTGAGAATACTTCTGTGCAGATGTTGTAACAGTCTTAAGCGTTTTAAACAAAAATGAACAGATTTAATTGAAGCACATAAAATTCTTCGTATAAAAGGGCACAAAAAGGTAGATGCAGAAAAGATGTTTCTCTTGATGGGGAGGGGATGTCTGGAACCAGGAGATAGTGTCAGAGTACAGAGTAGACCATTTTGGGATTGAAATGAGGAGGAACCTTTTCACTTGGAGTGTTGTTAATCTTTTGAATTCTTTAAATAGCAGAACAGACTGATGGGATAATGAGGTTGTGGCTGACCTGATAATCCTCCACTCCACTTTCCTGCCTTTTCCCCTTGATTAAAAATGTGTGTCTTAGCTTTGGGGAAACTTAATGAGTCAGCCTCAACAGCTCTTTGCTGTAAAGAATTCCACAGATTTATTTCCCTCTAAGAAAAGAAATTCTTCCTCATCTCTGTCTTAAATGTGCAACCCCCGATTCTGTGATTATGCCCTCTGATCTTAGACTGTCCCAAAAAGGGAAACAACATTACAGCATCTGCCTGTCAAGTCCCTTAAGAATCTTGTATGTTTCCATAATCCTCTCATTCTCCTAAACTCCAATGTGTATAAGGCCAATGTACTCAAATCTGTCTTCATAACAGTCCCTTCATACCCGGTATCAGCCTTCCTTATCATGTATACTGAGATCACAACTGTTTCTTCTTAACCTCTGGACAATGCTGTATTCAGAAGTTTTTGTCTTGTAATCCGCTTCAAATATGTTAGTTGAATCATGGAGCAGGCTTGAGGACCTGAATGACCTACTCCTCCTTATTTGCTATCTCCCTATGTAATCCTGAGTGCACTGTCTGAAATATTAGTGGAAGCAGATTCAATCATTTCTTTGAAATAGGAATTGGCTGACTGTTTTTGAAGATGATCAGGTTGGAGGGCTGTGAGGAAAGAGGAGTGGCAGAGAGATTAACTGGATAATTCAAAGTGCCGTTACATCCACAGAGGAACAATAGGCTTCCTGCCATATTGTATGATTCTGTGAAATGGCTCCTGGAATGATCTATCTGTTTGAGATGAGAGCTCATTAAGCAATGCACTGATTTAGAACAGCGACAGAAATTGGTGAAAGTTTTAGGGAAAGCAAAACAACAGAAAGAGTGATAAAGTTTTGAAAGTGTGCTTGTTGACAAACATCAAGCTGTCTACTGACAGTAAGTGTGTGGACTTTAAAGTGGAAGGAATGGCTTTGCCCCATTGATGAAGGGGCTGTAAGGTATCATTTGAAATGTTCCTGAGGAGAAGGATCAGCCATAGCGAAATGGCAGAGCAAAATACTGTGAATGCTGGAAATCTACAGTGTATATAGGAAATGCTCGAATTACTCAGGAATGGCAGCAATTTGGAGGCTGGTTAGTTCTCTTGCTGGATAGCTGGTTTGCAAAGCAATATGATGCCAACAGTGCAGGTTCAATTCCATGCCAGCTGGGATTACCACGAAGGTTCTGCCTTCCCAACGTTGCCCCTTACCTAAGGCATGGTGACCTTCAGGTCAAACCCACCACCAGTCATCACTCTCTAATGAGAGAACAGCCTATGGTCCACTAGGAGTTTGGCGTCTAATCTTTTAGCTGCAGAGAAAGGAAGAATTAACATTTTGGATCAGTGACCCTTTAGAACTGGCAGATGTTTGAATTATAATTTTTAATAGGTCTACAAAGTTAGACAGGAAAAGAAGAAAGAACCAAATAAGAAATCTGATGGAGTGAAAGCCGAGAGATTAAACAGCAACAGGAACAGCGATGCATCATATCATTTTGTCATCTAACCTCTCCTGTTAACCACCCCATCACATTCTTTTTTGTTCTTTCTGCACTCCAACCTTTACCTGCCTCTTTATTTGCTTTAATACCTGTTATAATCATTATTTCTCCAGTTCCAATGAATGATCATTGGCTTGAAACATTAAGTCTTGTTTCTTGCTCCATAGACATTGCCTAACTTAACCAGGAAAGTGGGAGGTGGCTTCAAAATAAGGCATAGTTGCACAAACCAGATCATGTTGAGGTGTTTCAGGAAAGTATAGGGAGAGTTTAAATTGTGGCTTGATTTCACTAATACAATCAATGATTTGCGTGTGATGCAAAGCTAATTGAAGGTGTTGGGCTGCAAAGCTGAACAGGGTACGCTACAGGGTATTTTGAATATACTTGGGAGGTGGCAGATGAAATCCAATGCCTTCTCGTGCAAATGGGGATTAAACCCAGAGGAAGGGACTATTTCTGAGTCGAGTCACAAATCAAAGGTATCGGACGCAACAATGTTCGATGAATAAAGCAAATCGGATGTTGGGAAACATCAATTAAAAAATAATTATTGGACCAAATTCAAGATATAATCCTGCCATTGACATCTAGAATATTATGTGTGGTTCTCCAGTACTGAGAGAATATTGCTGAAAAAGGCAGCCAACATGATTGAAAGGATGGTTTGGATTGGATCATAACAGGTGATTGTATGAATAAGGCATATGTTCAGTAGGAAAGGAGAAAGCTGTGAGTGGTTTCTCAGAACTAAGAGAGAGAGAGCCCAATAATGTAGACCACGGCCAGCGATTTTTTTGTTTTTTTTTCCCTCTACCAGAATTGCAGAACCTGAGGGCACTGCTAGCAGTTCCAGGGGGGTGAATATAGAATTAATCTGCAGGAGTACTGTTATAATGGATGAATGGTAACTCTACAAAGCTGGCTCCCTGAGAAAACAGCAGAAACAGATGATGTTGATTAATTCAGGTGCAATTCATGTACCATTTTTCAAAAAAATATTTCGAAATGTGGTATAGGAGTGATTTTTGAGACATCGCATTTGTTAAGAGTAGCATGTGCTTTTTTAATTCATGCACAGTTTGTAATCGTCATTGCTCGGCCATCATCTGTGGTCCATCCCGAATTGCCCTTGAGAAGGTGAGCTGCAGCCTTGAACCACTAAAGTCCATCTGGTGTAGGGACACCCATAATGCTGTTAGGGAGGGAGTTCAAACATTACCATTCCTTCACTATTGTTGGGTCACAATATGCTGCTAATTCTGGATGGCGTATGGCTTGGAAAGAAAGTCGCGGGTTGTGGTGGTGGTGGTGTATCTGCTGCTCTTGACCTTCTAAATAATGGAGTTCATGGTCCTCTGAGGAGACGTGCTGAAATATCTCTCAAAAAATGGCATTTAGATCTCGTCATATCTGGTTCTGTAAAATAGTTGATGAAGGTTGATGATAGCGATTAGTGAGTAACTCTGTGATTGCTGTAGGATATGATAACCTGAATGGTACAAGGTGATCCTTGGGTTGTTTTTCAATTCTTGAGAGTGTAAAACTCCGTGGTGGAAACATAGTGCATAATTTTAATTAAAATCATCGACGTTGGAGGGCGGGGCAGGCAGGGTCAGTCAGCTCAGTCCTAGAACATCCCTTTAAGAGTTCATCAAGGTAGATAGTTTCTAATCAACCTGTTTGAAATATTATTGCAAATATCTGGAGCAGGTGGGACTTTAACATGGGCCTTCTAGCTCAGAGGTAGGGATACTATCATTACCCCACAAGAACCCAACAAGCATCTTCAGCTGCTTCAAAACCATCTTTCCATCATAAGGTCAGACATAGGGGTGATTGCATAATGTTCAGCACCATTCATGACTCCAGATGCTGAAGCAGTCAGCAGTCCAGGCTTAAGCTGAAAAGTGGCAAGAAGCATTCACACCACAGAAACGCCAGGCAATGACCACCTGCAATAAGAGACAATCTAGCCATTGCTCCTCAATATTCAATGGTGTTACCGTCACTGAATCCCCCATTGATCAGAAACTAATCCGACTTGCCATATAAATACAGTAGCTACAAGGACAGGTTAGAGGCAAGGAATCCTGCAGGAAGGAGCACAACTCCTGACTTCCTAGAGCCTCTGCAGCATCTACCAGGCACAAGTGAGAAGTGTGATGGAATACCCCTGCTCCACTTGCCTGGATGAGTGCAGCTCCAAGAAACACTTGAAACTTGACCCCATCCGAAGCAAAGCAACCTGCTTATTCAGCACCACGAGCATTCAGCTCCTCTACCACCGACACTTAGTAACAGCAGTGTGTGCTTTCTACAAGGTGTAATAATATAGAAATTCACCAAAGTTCCTTAAACAGCACCTTCCAGACCCATTATTGCTTCCATCTAGAAGCACAAGGGCAGCAGCTGCATGGGAATACCACCACCTATAATTTCCCCTCCAAACCACTCACTCCTGGCTTGGAATTATATCACTATTCCTTCAGTGTTGTGTCAAAATCTTGGAATTACCTCCTTAACAGTATTGTGCCATTATATTATATAACAGTATTCAAGAAGGCACCGGACCATTAAGGGCAACTTGGGGCAGGCAGTAAATTTTGGCCCAGTAATTGAGTATATCCAAGACTGAGATTGATAGGATTCGAGCTATTAAAGATAGTATGGACTACGATAGTACAAGAAAACAGTTTTGAGGTGGCATATCAACCATGGTCTAGTTAAATGAAGAAGCGGGTTTGATAGACAATAAATCTCACTTTTGGTATTATTTTCTATGTCTCTATGTTGGACTTCTTCCTGCCACACAACGCTGTGAAACTTGTGCTTCTCTCTTTCTGGCCCTATTGAGTTTTCGTAATTTTAATCATTTCACAGTTGGTTTTCTTTCTCCATGAGATGTGAGAATCACTGACCAAAGCCAGCATTTGTTGCTTCCTCCTAACTGCCCTTGAAATAAGTGTCCTTCTGGAGGGCAGTTAAGAGGCAACCTCTGGAGTCAAATGTAGGCCAGAACAAATATGGGCAGCAGATTATCTTTCTTAAAGGACCTTAACAAACCAGATGGAGATTTTGTTTTGTAATGCTTTACGAAGCCCCTTCAGATGCTTCATTATGCTAAAGATGTTAAAGGCACTATGTAAATACAAGTTGCCAATGTGAACTACAAAGGCTAAAATATCCAGCGCTGAAGTTAATGGAAGGAGGAACCTGTATGCTGTGGTCATTAAATATATTTGGATAGGCAGGATAAGTGGGCTTAATACTGTTCTTCAAAGGTGGAGGGACAGTTTTACGAGGAAACGAGAATATGCAAAAACCTGAGCTAAGAGTTTGCAATGGAAGAGATGAGCAGACAGGCAGCTGTAGAAACTTGAAACTAGACACTGTAGAGATTTCGCAGAGAAGTGTGTTGTGATTCATAACTGTGGATTTTCTTTGGATTGGCCAGGCAGCAGTGTGGAGTAATCAGATCAACAATGATATAAAAGAAGGTGGACCGAACTTGAGAGGCAGAAGGGCCTACCCCTCCCAATTCTTACACTTTTATATTGGTTATAACTGTTTAATTGTGTCATATTGGAGCAGAGAAATGATATGCAGTGCAAACTTCAGACTTTATTCAAAGTTGAAGGACAATGAAGCTGTTTTGTATCACTGGTCATTGGCCTAATTTTGTTCTGAAAGTTTGTGTAGTCATGATAGTCTGTCAGTATTCTAGATCAGTCTTTGGATAAAATTCAGCACACACCTAGTAATAACATTTAATTTGTATCTGAAATCATCATAATGTATTTTATTTCAGATTCTTATTGATTTTCTTAATGACATATTCTAGAATCCTGTGGGTTTGCATATAGAAACTCCTTGCTTGGCTGTTATGAAGTCCCAGTCACACTAAGATGTGTTTCCATCTCTAATATCACAATGAACCTGTAACTGTTGCGACAGCAAACATTATACTAAACGCTTATCATTTGCAGAATGATGTGTGTTTACTGCAGATTCGTTGTTTTACATTCAGAATGACTTCCCAGCTGCCTCAAGAATACACAAAATCCACAGACAAATGGTCTCATTTGTCACCGGTGAAATTGAATTAAGCAATGTAAATAAAAAAGTAAACTGGAAATTCTAGGCTGAAAAATTTAATCCAGTCATGTGATTTGAATGAGCAATGTCATGGGTAAAACCAAGTCTGTGTAATTGCATGTGAGTTTTTAACCCTTGAGGCTATGTGGTCAAACCCCACTCCAAAACTTGACCGTGTATTTGAACTGACATTGCAATAAGTACCTGTTGTCCTGACTCCCCAGAGCCTGTCCACCATCTGTAATGCACAAGTCAAGAGTGTAATGGAATGCTGTCCTCTTGCCTGGATAAGTTCAGTCCAACTTGAGAAGCTCGCCACCATCTGGGACAAAACAAGCCCTCTTTATTGGCACCACATCCACCACTTTAAACAGTCACTCCCTCCACTACCAGTGCACACTGGCTGCAGAATGTTGAATCTGCTAAGTGCACTGCAACAACTCTCCAAGCTGCCTTCAAAGCACCATCCAAACCTGTAAACATTACCATCTAGAGCGGAGCAGGCTCAAGGGGCTAAATAGTTTAGTCCTTTAAGAACAAGCACAACAGGTACATGGGAATACCACCACCTGCAAGATTCTCCCTAAGTGTCACAAAACCTGAAAAGTTCCAGGACTTTCCAGTTCAAAATGCCTTCTGAACTTTGTTCTGAACAGCACTGGTAAGGAAAATTGGCAAATGAGAGAGGAGGGGGTGATTGGTGAAAAGGAAAGGGAGTAAGGTGAAGTGATTCTAAAGGTCCGATCTTTAAATACATGAAGGATTAAGAAAAATATTAATGTAAGCACTTATCTGCATCTTTAACCTCCATTACCATTAACAATTAAGCAGTTATCTTCTTGATTCAAAATTTCAATGTTTTCTGAATTTATGAAAGGAGACCGAGGAGCAAGAGAAGGAATCAATCAGTGGAGACCAGGAGCAGCTTATTGTACAAGACCAGCCTGAAAAGGAGATAGGTCCACCTGTTGAAACAATATGCACTAGTGAACCAGCAGAGGTAAGAGTTGGAATGTCACAGGTCAATGTTTAATAAATAGCACACTCAAAATTTGTATTGTCAATGGAGTAGGAATTGGCTATTTTGTATCTCTCGCATGTAAGAACATAAGAACTAGGAGCAGGAGTAGGCCGTCTGGCCCTTCGAGCCTGCTCCGCCATTCAATAAGATCATGGCTGATCCTTTCGTGGACTCAGATCCACTTATCCGCGTTCTCACCGTATCCCTTAATTCCTTTATTGTTCAAAAAAATGTCTACCTTTTTTTTTAGAAACATTTACTGAAGTAGTGTCAACTACTTCACTGGGCAAGGAATTCCATAGATTAACAACCCTCTGGGTGAAGGAATTCCTTCTCAGTTCAGTCCTAAATCTGCTCCCTCTAATCTTGAGGCTATGCCCTCTTGTCCTAGCTTCACCTGCCAGTGGAAACATCCTCTCTACTTCTATCTTATCTATTCCCTTCATAATTTTATATGTTTCTATAAGATGCCCCCTCAATCTTCTGAATTCCAATGAATATAATCCCAATCTACTCAGTCTCTCCTCATAAGCCAACCTCCTCAACTCCGGAATCAACCTAGTGAACCTCCTTTGCACCCCCTCCAGTGCATTACCCCCCCCCCCCCCAACAAAAAGTGTTCTTCTATTCAAACAGCCTTAGACAATGACGATTGAAAGCCCCCTTTATAACGCTAATGTTACAAATGGTATTGATAGAGGTTTGACTTGCTGGTAGAAAATGAAGTTGGGATAGAGGAGGCATTTTCAGATTGGCACTCTATAACTTGTGGAGTGCCGTTGGGTTCAGTGCTGGGTCCACAATTATTTGCAATGTATATTTATGAATTGGATGAGAAGAGCAAGTGTACCATCACTAAGTTTACAGATGACGTGAAAATAGGTGGGAAGGCAAGTGGTGAGGATAACAGTCTGCAGAGAGAGAGACCATGTTAACTGAGTGGGTGAAAACATGGCACATGGAATATAATACAGGAGAATGAGGTTATGAAGGAAGAATAGAATAAGTTTGGCAGGAAGAATAGAAAAGCTGAATGTTGTTTAAACAGAGTAAAACTGCAAAAAAGCTGCCTAAATTGCAAATTATCCAAGTTCAGATAATAGGGAAGGAAAATGGAATGTCAATCTTTATTTCAAAGGGAATGGCACATCAAAATGGGGAAGTCTTGCTAAAACTATACAAGGTACTAGTCAGACCACACGTAAAATATTTAATAGTTTTGGTCCCCTTTAGCTAAGCAATGGAGGGACTGTCTTATGAGGCAAGGCTGAGTAGGTTGTGTCTCTACTTATTTGAAGCATGCAAGACTCTTAAAAGCTTGACAGGGCGTATGAAGAAAGGTTGTTTTGTGAGAAAGTCTAGTACTGGAGGACATAATCTTAGGGTAAAATGTGACTTATTTAAGGCAGATATGAGGTGAATTTCTTCTCTCGGACATTTTTGTCCATTAAATTTGCTTTGTAGATAAAAATTATTGATAGAAATAGGTGGCTGAGTACTTAAGGTGACATCCTTCATCTGCATAGTTGGGAATTTCCTGCTTTTGGCTTCAAAGTTGTTCAGGGCTGGGAGGGAAGATTTAAATCTCAAACCTTTATTCTTGTCTTTGTTTCTCCTCAGGTTGAAGAGGCACAGCCGGTAGAAATCGTCGAAGAACCAGCTGTAATTATGGAAAGCTCTTCCCAGGATATTACTTCCCAAGTGCCAGACACACTATCAGAGACAGAATCACCTGTCTCTGCCACTAAACAGAATAACCTGCCTCCTTCACAAGGTCAGCATTTGAAATCGCTACATGTGGCCAAAGTCTTGTCTGTCTGTGATCTTAAGATCAAACAAAATACAAGATACTGTAAGCTGCAATTTGCGATTCAAAGTAATCCCCGATGTGTGATCAGTTTTGATTGCGAAACTACACCATTCAAATATCTCTAAAATCATCTTACTCCAAAAATTGTAGGCAATGCTTCATATCCTGCTTGACCATTATTTTACTGACTGGCACTGAGGGTGCAGGAGGTAAATGCAGTTTGTCTCTCACCACTGTTAGCCTATACATGAGAGACCATAGCACCTATTCTGTATGGAGTGCTACCTGAATGTTTTTGGATGGATCATAATGTACAAGATTTCCTTCCCTGAAGGACAGTGCTGAACCAGATAAGTTTTTACAACAATCAACAGTGATTACATGGTTAACATCAGAAGAGCCTTTAATTCTAGAATTTATTGAATTTGACTTTCGCTATCTACTGTGGTTGGTTTCTCAGCTCCCCAATGCATTCGCTTGGGTCTCCAAATATGATGCCACTTACCGTAGAACAGGGTAAATTACTCTGTTTAACTTTTGTGATCATCTTCTCTGCTTTCCGTCTTTTCAACTCTTGTTCTATTTCCTCAGTCACAGCAAAGGGCACTGTACGAGGTCTGCAGCAGGTTGGTCTGATGTTTCGCTGAGCCCATGCAATCTTGAATCATGTGGCCAGTTTCACTAAACACTCTAGGGTACTTAGGCAAAAGATGTTTTTGTAGTTTAACTTGTATTCCTTCCCAACAAGGCTGGTTTTTGACTCTTCTCATGGGAATTTTCTCTCCTCTATAACCTCTTAATTCAATAATTTTGAGCCATGAAGCTACAGGGTAGAACTAAAATGAGACTTTCCAACTTGAATCAGTGGCATAGAGAGATATTTTCATCCCCTCCACCTCAAATGAACATAGAAGTCCAATATATCGAGCCCTGTTTTCTTATTACTGTTCTATTTTTTATTCTTTGTCTTACAGCTTATGCATGTACAGTAGTAATGTAGTAATTCTTTTATTCATTCACACCATGTGGGTATGGCTGCTAACACAAATATGTATTACCCATCTTTAATTACCCTTTAGAAGTTGATGGTAAACCATGTTGTTGAATCCAGCCGAGAGGCTTGCTACAAGAACAGAAACTGCTGGAGAAACTCGGCAGGTCTGGCTTCATCGTGTAGAGAATGCAGAATTAAAGCTTTGAGTCCAGTGACCCTTCAGAGCAACTAGGAAATTCAAGGGGTATTTACCAGTCAGCCAGATTGTGGACCTGAAGTCCAATTTAAGCCAGACTGGGCAAGGACTGTGCTTTCTTCCTGGGTGACTTCTCCTGAACATTGACTTGGTCATAGTTTTAAGATAAAAGGTTGGCCCTTCATGACTGAGATGAGAAATTTCTTCACTTGAGAGCTGTGAATTTGGAATTCTCTAGCCCAGAGAGTTGTTGATGCTCATTTGCAGAGTGAACTCCTTAAGCTTTTGGATATTGAGGTGATAGAGGCAAGCTGGGATTAAGCAAAAAGACAAAGTTGATGAGCAAGTTCAGATTTATGGAACAGTGAAGCAGGCTCAAAGAACTGTAGACTGTACTTTTTTTATGCTGTTGAATGCGTAAGTCATGAGTCTATATCGTGACTATCTCTAGATAGAGAATGGTTTGAAGTGGCCAGCACAGATAGCATTTGCAACCCATCCCTAATTATCCTTGAGAAAGTTTCTTGCAGGGATGATAAAGTATATGAAATTTATTTTATTCATTCATGGGATGCAGTCAACGCTGGCTGGGCCAACATTTCTTTGCCATCCCTAATTGCCCTGGAAAAGTCAGTGGTGAGGTGCCACTTTGAGCTGCTGCAGTTCTGGGGTGTTTGTACATCCACAGTGCTGTTAGAAAAGGAGTTCCAGGAATTGGACCCTTCGTGAATATATGACTATGAATATCATTTTTTATAAAAACAATTCAATACAGTAACTACAACAAGCCGTTAATGTTCAAAACCAGAAGTTGCTGGAAAAGCTCAGCGAGTCTGGCAGCATCTGTGAAGAAAATATCAGAGTTAATGTTGTTGGGTCCAGTGACCCTTCCTCAGAACTGATGGTAGCTGGGAAAACGTCGGTTTATATGCAGAAAATAGGGAGGGGGTTTTTTCAGATAATGCTAATTGCTTTGCCTAATTATGTCCTTCATAGATGTTATTTTCATTAATAGAGCAGTAGTTTTAATTTGCATTTACTAATATAATTGTAGGTTAAATATTGAGGCATATGGGAGACTGGTTGATCTTGTGGCTGGTTGGCTCGCCGAACTGGTTCGTTGTTCCGCAGACGTTTCATTACCCTACTGGGTAACATCATCAGTGCAGCCTCCGATGAAGCGTCGGTGTGTTTTCCCGCCTGGCTTTTAAACTCGAGTCCGTTGAGCTGGTTTACCTCAATTCTGGTTTTCCTTCGCAGTGGAGTGTATGTGGGGTCGAGTTCTGTGTGTTTGTTGATGGCTTTCTTCGTGGAGTACCAGGCTCAGAGGAATTCCCGTGCCTGTCTCTGCTTTGCTAGTCCCAGGATCTTGGTGTTGCCCCAGTCGAATTGGTAGTTCTCCTTATCCATGTGGATAGAGATGAGTGAGTGTTGGTTGTGTCTTTTCGTAGCCAATTGGTGTTCGTGTACCCTTGTTGTTAATTTCCTTCCTGTTTGTCCAATGTAGTGTTTGCAACAGTCTCTGCAAGAAATCTTATAGATGATATTGGTCCTGTCCATACTCGGAAGTGGGTCTTTGGTTCGGGTGAGCAGTTGTTGTCGGGTTGATGTGGGTTTGTGTGCCACTCTGATGCCCAGCGGTCGTAGCAGTCTTGTGATTAGTTCCGATGTATTCCTGATGTATGGTAGCGTGATGTGTGTGTCGGGGCGTGTAATATCTTCATGGTGTTGTTCGTGTAGGCATCTTCTGACCCAGTTTTTTGGATATCCATTATCTTTGAAAACCTGGAAGAGGTATTCTTCTTTTCGGCATAGTTCTGTGCTGCTGCAGTGTGTTGTTGCCCGTTTAAATAGTGTTCGCACGCAGCTTCGTTTGTGTGTGTGTTAGGATGGTTACTGTTGGAGTTCAGTACCTGGCCAGTGTGTGTGGCTTTTCTGTGTACTTTCATTTGGAGTTCCCCATTTGTTTTGTGCTCTACCATGATTCCCAGGAACGGGAGCTGTTTGTTCTTGTCCTCTCTGGTGAATTTGATTCCAGTGAGGTGTTGTTTATTAGTTTGTGTGTCTCCTCTGGTTTGGTCAGTAGCGCGAACACTATTTAAACGGGCAACAACACACTGCAGCAGCACAGAACTATGCTGAAAAGAAGAATACCTCTTCCAGGTTTTCAAAGATAATGGATATCCAAAAAACTGGGTCAGAAGATGCCTACACGAACAACACCATGAAGATATTACACGCCTCGATACACTCATCACGCTACCATACATCAGGAACACATCGGAACTAATCACGAGACTGCTACGACCGCTGGGCATCAGAGTGGCACACAAACCCCCATCAACCCTACGACAACTGCTCACCCAAACCAAAGACCCACTTCTCAGTATGGACAGGACCAATGTCATCTATAAGATTTCTTGCAGAGACTGTTGCAAACACTACATTGGACTAACAGGATGGAAATTAACAACAAGGGTATACGAACCCCAATTGGCTACACAAAGACACGACCAGTACTCACTCATCTCTATCCACATGGATAAGGAGAACCACCAATTCGACTGGGGCAATACCAAGATCCTGGGACAAGCAAAGCAGAGACAGGCACGGGAATTCCTAGAAGCCTGGTACTCCACGAAGAAAGCCATCAACAAACACATAGAACTCAACCCTATATACACTCCACTGCGAAGGAAAACCGGAAGTGAGGTAATCCAGCTCAACGAACTCCAGAGTTTAAAAACCAGATGGGAGAAAACAACAGCGCTTCATCGGAGGCTGCACTGATGATGTTACCCAGCAGGGTAATGAAACGTCTGCGGAACAACGAACCAGCTCGGCGGGCGAGCCAACCAACCACAACACCCACAACCCGAACTAAAAATCTACTCCAAAACTGGTTGATGTATGAGTTGTTACCTCTATGATGCTTTTTCTATTCATGCAGAGATTGATTGGTACTACTTCACTCCACCATCTTAAACACCACCTTAAACATTTACCAGGATGCTGCCTGGACTGGAGGGCAGGTCTATGAGGAAAGGTTGAGGGAGCTAGGGCATTTTTCATTGGAGTGAAGAAGGATGAGAGTTTACTTGATAGAGGTGTACAAGATGGTGAGAGGCATAGATAGAGTGGATAGCCAGAGACTTTTTCCCAGGGCGGAAATGACTAATATGAGGGGGCATAATTTTAAGGTGATTGGAAGGAGGTATAGGGGAGATGTCAGAGATAAGTTCTTCACACAGAGTGGTGGGTGTGTGGATAGTGCTGCCGGCAGTGGTTGTGGAGTCAGATACATTAGAGACTTTTAAACGACTCTTGGATAGGCACATGGAGGATAGTTAAAAAGTAGGGCATGCAGGGTAAATTGGTCTTCGTAGGATGATAGGTCGGCACAACATCACAGGCCGAAGGGCCTGTACTGTTCTGTTCTGTTCTATGTTCTTTCTGTGTTCTATTCAGTCACTCCACTACCGACGCACCGCACAGCACTATACTGCAATAACTTGCCAAGGCCCTTTTTGACAGCATCTTCCAAACTTGTGACCAATACACCCTCGAAGAACGAGAGCAGCAGATACATGGGAACACCTATTCATCACCACCACCTGCAAGTCCCCCTCCAAGCCGCTCACCATCTTGACTTGGAACAATCTTTGCCTTTCCTTCAGGGTCACGGGGTCAAAATTCTGGAACTCCTTCCCTCACAAACTCCAAGCACTAAATGGACTGCAGCAGTTCGAGGCAGCTCAGCACACCACCTCCAGGGCAGTTAGCAATGGGCAATAAATACTAAGCTGGCATGCAATGTCCACATTTTCTCTGTTGATGAATGTATGCAAAACAAGCCACGTGAGTGTACTGTAATAAAAATCAAAGGTATCAATAAATGTGGCTACTTGTGTCTGTGTCTGAATCCTGTGTTTTTGTTCATTCCAGCAAAATCTGATGAAAACTGGGAGTCCCCGAAGCAGATCAAGAAAAAGAAGAGAGCAAGAAGGGAAACATGAGCTTTTTTTTGTATTCAGTGGTCAGTTGTTATGCAAAATGATCTTGAAGAAAAAAAAAATCCGTTTATGCAATAATTTGTGAAAATGTACAGAATTTTATAGAAGAAAATTTGACTGTAATTTTTATTAAAACTTATTGCAATGCGCATGAGCAACTTGATTTGATACCATGTAACAAACTTCAAGTGTAACACACTGATGCTGTCTACAGCCACTTTCATGCTGGGTCTGAGTTTGTTGACACTAGAAATGTGATTTTGTCTTTTCTTTCATTTTTGTTTTGTAAGAGTTTGGGAAAGTCTGTGCAGAACTGCATCTTACATTATGACCTTTTGGCTCCACACTAGAAATTCGCGATGAAAGTTGCTTTCTTAAATTAAAAAGCCGGGCCGTGTGAAGAGCAATTGCTAGGGAGGCTTTGGTTTTTCCATTCCTCTTTACGCTTCCCTATCCCATCTAATGCCACCAACACCCCCCTCCTCCCGACTCCGGAAAACACAGTTAAACGTAGATCACAGTGTTCAAAATGGTATCGGGTTGAGCCTGAAGCAGAAAACATTTCGATAGCTTTAATATTTGTGGACAGAATTACAATTTATATCAGGAATGACATTTTACTGCCTTAACCTGTAGTGTGTAGAGAGAAAGATGTTTAGGTAACCTAAAAGGAAATTCCAATTTTCTAAGAATCCATGAACACTGGTTCATAACAGCGGGTGGGTTTGGAGAAATTAGCAGTTGCATAAGCTGGGAAGATGTTTCGCACCAATTAACATTGGAAAAACACTGTAAAATATCCAGCTGTTCAGACAGATGTTTTCTTTTTTAAAAATAAATGTCAATCTCAAGATGCCATTCCTCTGCTGATTAAAGTGGTCCTCGTCTAACCTGCAGTTTGGTTCTGCTGAAAATTTACCCTTGCTCCCAAATCAGACAGCTGTGGGAGTTGACACCATTCAGTCGTCAAATCGCTATCTAGACCAGAGCTTCCTAAACTCCTTTCCCACCTCATATGACCCCATTTTGAGCCTTGAAAATTGTTACAATCCCTCAGTGAGATTTGAGAGAACGGGGGTGGGGCAGGGGGTTGTGGTGCATATCGTTATTGTAACTCAGTTTGAGCTCCACAAGAGGCAGTGCTGCCTCGGAGATCACCATCCCAGAGCTTCAACTTGTTGCCCCACTTGGGGTCCACGCCACCACTTTGGGAAACCCTGCACTAGACTTTGCCAAGCAGCATAAATCTGGTGGATACCCAGTCAGTGGCAGCAGAGGGAACTGCTGATGGTCCCGTGGTCTCATTACTAGTGGTTTCACACAGCTTATCACCGTTAAGAAGGCTAACGACAGAGAAGAAAGCTAAATTGGATAAGAACAAATGAGAATACTTGAAATATAAGGTTTATACATAGACAAAGTTAAAGAAAAATACAAATCATTAAACTGAAATAGTCTGGTTAGAACCTCAACCATAAGCCTGCAGGTAAAGATTCTAGTTTCTACTTTGCAGTGTTGGCATCTGAGTATTGTTTGGAATGACTGGTGCGTGCTATGCCATGTGCATTGTTTAATAACTTTACCAAATGTACATTCACTTGATGAGGACCATGGTATTTTACACCACCTACTTGAGTTAACCTGATCATCGTAAGCCATGATTATTGTTTTTGAATGGGTGTAAAATGTTCATGCTGCACAGAGAGGACAATGGAGCATAAAGTTTGAGCAAGCTGATACTAATGGTACTTAGTCCACTAATCTACTGTCATGACTGTTACTTAGTTTGGTGACAACAGATTGCTAAGGTTTTGCAAAGTTTAAATAATGAGTGTCATTATGCTCCCAGTAACCTGCCTTAATTGGTTATGACGTGGTATTTGTTGTGCTTTCGTAATTACCTTGATTACTAAAGTTAAACAAATGTATTTATACCTGTTTCAGAAACATAGCAAGTATGTTTACATGTTCTAAAGTTTGTTAAAATGCAATGAATTTCTAAGTTGATTTGTTCAAATAAATTTAGCAAATTAATACGTATGCATTGTTTGTTTCTTCAAGGGATCTTGCAGCAATCTGTAGAAGTAGTCGAGGCCAGTTTATTTTTATTCGTTTGTTGGTTGTAGCAAGGTAAGCACTTGTTGACCATCCTTAATTGTCCTTGAGAGCAGTGAAGAGTCAACCACGTTGCTGCAGGGAAGATAGGAGAGAAATAGACGCAGGAGTAGCTCCTCGAGCCACTCCTGGACTCCATTTTCCTGCCTACCCCCATTATATTTGATAGTGAAAAGATACCTATTGACAGACCAGGCAGTAAGAACCGAGCCACATGCAAACCCAAAAGCAGAAATTGTTGGAAATGCTCAGCAGGTCACGAGAGAAGAAACTGCTGCTATTTGGACCTTCTGAACTGAAGAGCGGAAAATTAAAAAGCATTTCAATATAATCCAGAAGTGAAAAGGAGAGTGGTTCGAAGTAAACTAGAATAAATAAACTATATCCTGAAATCGCAAAGTTAAGTAGTAATTCAAATAGCCTTCGAACAAAAGCAAATGATTGTTGGATGATGTGAAGGCTCAACTCAAACAGATTAAAATTAAAAGGCTAGTTAGAGGAATTATTGGAGTATTTATAAAAAGAGAGAACTTGAACAGCATTTGTTGCCCATCCCTAAATGCCCTTGAACTGAGTAGCTCCCCAGGCCAGATCAAATAAGGACCACAGGTTTCCTTAAAGGGCACTAGTGAATCTGATGGGTTTTGGGATAATTGATAGTTTGGTTACCATTGTTTTGTATTCCAAATTTATTCATTGAATTTAACAAATCTAGCTTCCGTAATAGGATTGGTATCTCTGTTCCCAGAGAATTATCCTGGATCATTGGGTTACTAATCCAGTGACATTACCACACACCATCTCTCACTGGAGTGTTAGGAAATGGAAGATGTGACTGAGACCAGATGATATGAAGTCAACTGCAAAGTTCCAAGTGAATGATGTACTGTGCCTGAAGCTCTTGACTAAATACCTCTGTCACAAACATGAGACTTAAAGTTAACTGAGGTAAGGTAGCAAGGCAAAGTGATCTTGAGGACACAGTTGTGGAAGGAACTGAGGTGCAAACTGGCTGGCCCTAATTCATATTCCAACTGGGAGGACATCACACCATGAACAGCAGATATAATGTACTGGCATAAAGACCCAGAATGCTGGAAATACTTTGCAGGCCTGGCAACAAAGAGAGAGAAGCAAAGCTAAAATTTCAGGTAGAAACAAGAACAGATATTGCTGTAGAAACTCAGCAGATCTGGCAACATCTGTGGAGAGAAAGTAGAGTTGATGTTTTGGATCCAGTGACCATTCTTCAGTATCTTTCAGGTTGATGTCATTTTATCAGAACCAGAAAGAGTTAGAAATGTAGCTTTAAAGTGAGCCAAAATGAGGGAGGGTGGAAAATGGGAGAGAGTTTAATTTAAAGAAACAAAAGCAAATGTGTTCAGAGGAGATGCAAGTTGCTGAGTGATTAATAACTTCCATCAGAAAGCAAAAATGAGAGAAAAATAAGTCCATGTTAAAACGTTTAATGGTACAACACTTGAAAAACATGGCAGGATCGGGAAGAGTCAGGCATAGTTTTGCGAAAGGGAAGTGCTTAATAAATCTGGAATTTTTCAAGGATACAATTAGTACAGTTGATAAGGTAGGGGACAGTGAGTGTGATTTACTTGGATTTTCAGGAGTATTCAGTAGATTAGCAGGTAAAATTAGAGCACATGGTTTGAGGATGGTGTACTAACATGGATAGGGAGCAAAGTGTAGGAATAAACAGGTCTTTTTCTGAGTGGCAGGCAGTGACTATTAGGGTACTGCAGAGATCAGTGCTTGGCTTGAGCTATTTGTAATGTATATATTCATGATTTCTATAACGAAACTAAATGTGATCTCTCCAAGTTTGTAGATGACACAAGTTCTGAGGAAGGGTCACAGGAACCAAAACGTTAACTCTGATTTTTTCCTTCACAGACCCTGCCAGACCTGCTGAGCTTTTCCAGAAACTTTGTTTTTGTTCCGGATTTACAGCATCCGCAGTTCTGTCAGGATTTTTTGTTTGTAGATGACACAAAGCTGGGTGGGAAGGTGAGATATGAGGAGTATGGTGTGGATGAGTTAAGTGAGTAGGCAAATGCGTGGCCAATGAAGTACAATGTGGATAAATGTGAGATTATGTGCTTTGGCAGCAAAAACAAGCAGGCAGCTTATCATCTGAATGGCAATCGGTTGAATAAGAGGGAGGTACAATGAGACTTCTGCCCAAACATTAGCACTAACAAGCCATTCAGCTACCTGGGAGCTAAGCACGTTATTGTTGGCAGGCTGAAGATCTTTGTCATTGACAACTGGTCGTTGTTCTACAGACCAATCAGCTACTTGTTGCCAGCCAAATCTCCATTCATACACACTCCCAGGCTGGCTCTATTTTGTCGACAATCACCTCCCCATTGTTTGATCAAGGAGCTGCGTAAACAGCACTTTTAATGAGCGCTAGTAAGCTGTTCTTTTTTTTAAAATGCAGCAATCTTTCCACAATCCTTGATTGTTAAGATTCCTTCCATTCAGTCCACAATCAAAAATACAGAAAAATAAGATGATATAGTCTTTACGTTTCAACCACCTTCAGCCCTATAATCCTTCAAGAATTCAGCAATCTTCCAATTTTGGCTTCTAGAACATCCCTGATTCTAATCATTTCACCGTTGGCAACCATGACTTCAACTGCTAATCCCCTAAACTCAGGAATTTGTTCTATAAACCTCTCTCTCTTGTGTTAAGCTGTTCCTTAAAACCTGTTTATTTGACTAAGCTTTTGACCATCTGAGAAATCCTCATTTGGTGAGGTGCCAAAACGTCATTGCTAATGCTCACATTAAACACCATGAAATGTTTTGCTACTTTAAAGGCATTACATAAATGAACATTGTTGCAACACAGAGACAAATGACCCTCAAAATTGCTCAGTTATTCCTAACTAGACTTTATAAATGACAGATCTTGGATGCCAAGTCCAAACTTAAACAAAAATTAACCATTTGTTACTAAGGATGTAATTTTAGCATAACACAGATAAACTATAAGACAATCTAATTAATGTGTACAATCTAAGCCCAATTTTTTTTATTATTCATTTTGTGCAGTATGGGCATTGTTGCTGGTCCAGTATTTAATGTTCATCCCTAATTGCACTTGAGACAGTGATGGTGAACTGCCTTCTTGAACCACTGCAGGCCACCTGCTGTGAGTTGACCCACAATGCCATTAGGGAGGGAATTCCAGGATTTTGACCCAGCACCAGTGAAGGAATGGCGATTTATTTCCACGTCAGGATGGTAAATGGCTTGGAGGGGAGCTTGAAGGTGGTGGTGTTCCCATATCTGTTCCCCTTGTCCTAGATCTTCCTCGATTATAAACCTCCACTCACCAATCAATAGATAGACACAGTTAAGGGGTAAATTAGAAAAGACAATAAAAGAATTGTAATTTGGCAGTTCAATAAACATTTCAAAGGTGATTATCAGGCCTTCATAAAATCCTTAAATGAAGTGTTGTTTAACATACACAGAGAACTGTATATATTTCCTGAATTCCAAAATCACTAGTCAATGCAGACAGCTTCTGCTGACCTCTGGAGAATTTCACTTATTTCTTACAGACTGGGATTCTTTTCTCAGAACTTTCAACAAGTCAATAACGGGAGACAAACTAGGGAGAGCAGGACCAAAAACAAGTCCAGTCCAGAGGCTTCTACAACAAAGCTGCCTCTGAACCAAAACCCAGTCAGAACCAGTTTATTCTTAGTTTTCTCCTTTTTTGTTCAAAATTCTCTATGAAACTTCACTGGAGGCACACTGATGATGTTAACTAGCCTGGTGACGAAACGTTTGCGAACAAACTTACCAGCTTGGCGAGCAAGTCAACAACCGCATCTCTACGATGTGTTCTGAACAGATTGATTCAAAAGGCTTATGTTTAACAATTCCCATCAGAGCTGTTAGGCGTGAACTTCCCTCCCTGAATCCCCCTCAGGTGAACTTGCAACTTGTGAATTTGAGTGTAGCCAGCTCATCAAAAGTTGTGGGGCCTTTGGGGCTTTCAATAGCTGCAAACACCTCAGCTTGTGGGGACGCAGGATCCAGTCCATAGTTTTCAGTTAGTCCAGAGATAAATATGGAGCCCAGGTAATCTCGTTCTGCTCCTGTTCAAAACAGTGCCGTAGAGGTTTTTTTTGTTGTTATGTCTACCTGCAAAGGAAGATGAATCCTTGATGAAATGGCTGGGTCTAAAGACTAAGTGTGGAACTTTTCTGATTTATTTTAAGGTGCAGGACAGGCACGTAAGCTGGTGACTAACATGGCACCCCCACCACTCAGAACACTGGCCGTATTGCCCACCAATCAGCTCATAAAGAGCTGGTGTGGGTGAGTTTTATGGCGAATCACAAGCCTCGGCAGTGGCGGCTGTGGTCTCTGTAAGCTGCCGGCCAATCAGCGGTTGCCAGCCCCTGGGCCCTAAAGTTCCCTCTCCCCACATCAAGGCCTTCTCCTCCAGGAATCTCGTGGTGGGAAAGTAAGTAATTGTTACACTTTTCTCGCAGGGAATGGTGGGGTCTGCAGGGTTGGAGGTGTTGCTGTCAGAAACCACCTCTTGTCTCCTGTATCCCCATCGGTGTGACCAATTGCCCCGAGATTCCTCCCCCACCAACCCAACAGGTAAGTTACCCCTGGTTTCCCAGGACAACAGCCACCATTCTTGACCACTGGTGATCATAGAAGTGGTGGGTTGAGGCCTTCGAATGGCCATTAATTGACCTCCTAAGGGACCTTTCCTACTGGTGGTCTATGAGCCTTTCCACTCAGATCTTAATTAGTGAGGTGTTGAGAAAGGGGTAGAGTATCTCAGCAGGGCCCATTCCCCCAGTGATTTCCCTCCATGCCACCACTGTCACCATCTTTGGAGGTGGGGGTGTGGGAGTTCAGAGGTGTATA